CACCGCTAAGTTCATCAACTTGTGTCACTCAGTCGCCGTTGGTGTTGTCATCCGCAATGAAAAGGACGTCCATGAACTCACGTGCCTTATGCTATGACTATGGTCATATAGGTCCGTTTTAAGGGACGAATGTCAATGGTCAGTTTAGTGAGGATAAACCAACTTTATACGAGAGGGTAATTGTTACACCGACTTGCATGAATAAAGGCTTTTCAAGTTACTATTTGAGTGTTATTATCTTCGGTGTATGTTACTCTGTACCTACGCTTGGTTGGTCAGATACGTCGTATCTATGTTAGTCATCTATATTCTACGATACAATGTCATGAGCGTGTCGCCGTTCAGAGTTGAGGATAAAGATGGTAGAAGGAGATTACCAAATGAAATCTGCGACGACTTTCCAACCTAGGGCGTCAACCTGAGAAGGGTTGTAGGCGTACCGTTGTAAGTCCTACAATTCTTCAGCGGTAATACGTCGCAGTACAGTCCATCGTACTTGATATGTGGTTTTGTACATATGTTCATGTTGTACATAGTGAATTGATATCATGTCTCATCTATCTGTTGGTTAATTTTGTTTGTCTGGACGTCTTTCTACCTGGATCGTCAACCTGAGAAGGAATGTAGGCGTGCTGCTGTAAGTCCTACAGTAGCTCGTCAATGCAGAATCCACAACGTTTGATGCACTGATTGTGACTATATTTGTGTTAAATAATTGAGTGTATTCCAATTAATTTAATTGTTGGTTAATCTTCTTTGTGTCCGGACATTCTCAAAATTACAATCTTCAACCTGAGATGGTTTGCAGGCGTACTGGTGCAAGTCCTGCAATTACATCCTGGAATTAGATCGAGACATGATCTGCGACGTTATGTGTACTGTCTATATACATGTGTGTTTTGTCATATCATTTGGTGTTTTTGGATTCACCGTGTTTACATGTGGTTTTCGCACATTACTGTTTTTCATAATTTTAATATAATTTTCGTTGTGCGTACTCCTGAAGTTGTTTGTAGTCTTCTACATCCGTGAATGAATTGATTGATGTTAAAGACAGCAGATGGGTCGTACACGCCGGGGATTCTATGCTAGTGCTCAGAATGACATGCAAACGGAGACAATGATTAGCTGTGGAATCAACGATTGAGAATAAATGTTTCTATTTACGCTGTGGTCTCACACCAGGGAGCGAGACTGTAGAATAAAGAGGTCTCCATACGTCACCGTTACTCGAACTGAGGCAGAATGAGTGACAAGCGATTGCAGTGTAAATTGGTACTGAAAAGATAAGAGGATGCGCGTAGAGTATCGTTAGGTGCTTCCATGGTCACGTTGCATTCTGCAAGAGTCAATCCAGCAAGTGGCGAGTGTGTAGCAAGATGTAAAGAGCAGGGCTTCATCTGCAGGCGCAGGTCGTGATTATTAGTGACTATTATCCCATGTAGATAATTGTTCTAATTAGCGCATAGTAAAAATTTGGAGGAACTTTTTCAAAAATGTAATGCCCCAAATAAACAATTTGGAGGTAAACGATGCATTTCCCCAATAATTTAGTACTGCGTTGCCCCAACATTTTTTATCTAAGGTGTTTCCCAAAAATCGAAACACTTTAATGGGGTTATCATCACTCTCATTTAAGTCTGTTCCCAGAAAATAATCGTCTAACAGTAACCCTCGTGACGTTGCAATGTGTGATATAATTTTACCCTTTTAGATGCATAAAGAGACTATTTCGAGAAAAAACAAGTATCCACCTTAGATACTAATCTTACCTCAACCGCCTTTTCCCAACACTTTCACCTTGACTCCAGTCATTTCCACAGTGTTTGATGCAGTTAAACTGCATATCCGCAGATCGAAATCACTGTAGTAGGTGTGACATCGAGTGAACATTTTGATTTCGAAACAGTTGTAAAATTTACCAACTGGCTTTGTTCACTGATTCTGACATGTATAACGTGTGTGAGATTGCTTTATGTAGACATGCACACGTTAAGTATGCATATAACTGCTCTCACTTGGTGTCCTATTATCCATTTCCGGACAAACTATCTTTGCGTTCTCAAAACTAAAAACATAACGATTCACAACCCTCATATTACCAAGTCTTTCAACAAATTACGTGGAACTGTGCAGTAGCTACTAACTGAAGTAAGAAATCACAGGTCCTTATAGATGTTTGGATAAAATGTTCCCTAAATTTTCGACGGTGATTTGTCGTACCTCAGTTCAGTTGTTTGCACTAAATAAATCATTTTTAAGGTAATTCAAGCCTCCATGGAAGAATGGCAATTATCAACCTCGTCGACGGTTTACGATGCGATACTGAATGTTTTTTTTTACTAGTTCGCCAGTTTATTAGCTAGTCTTCCATCCGGAAACAGCAGGAAGGCTGGTAGTTGGACTAGAGACCTTAATTTTGAAGACTAACATAATCGTTAGAAAAAACTCTGATCAGCAGGAGGAACATTAAAAAAGTATTCTTCGTTAGAATCGGAGAGATGAGACAATGCGAACTTGTGAGAGCCTTCTAGAAGACAATCAGCCGGTATGTCTTCATTCAGTGAAAGCGAAAATAAACATATAGACTGAAGATACATGTGACTTACAATGCTAGGAAGTCGGCTGAGGTTTTCCGGAGTCCAGTACACAACGAATTTAATGAGAAATTGCAAAACTTGGTGTGGAATCATGCTCCTACCCAAGACAAGCAAAGTATTAAGTTTCATCCTCCTTGAGAGACTAAAGGATGCACCGGATGCAGGACCTCGCCCAAATAAGATGGCTTAGGGAGAAGCAAATGATGTGCTGATCAAATAGAAGTGTCATACATTATAACTCATCAGTGCATGCAATGGCACCTCAATTTTCTCACCTCTTTATAGGCCTTTGACAGCGTTGACTATGAGGTAATTTGTTAACTAGTTAAACACTGGAACGTCCAAAACTTTTATCAACCTAATTTAACAGCCATATGACAATTGCAAATGTCTAGTGATCTACAGAGAGCCCAGAGAAGTCTCTGAAGTGAATATAGTAGTAAAACAAGACTAATCACACTTGTAGATGACATTCTACATATGTGGTTGAATGGAATCCTGGGAACGGCGAAGTGTGGATCACGAGGACAGGAAGACGTTGGGCCATTAGGAAGAATCTAGAAGATCCGAAATCTGCGAAACATTTATGTCTTAAGTCACGTAAACTCAGAAATGTCAAGATAAAGACTGATAAGTCGGCTGAAGATGCGGACAGCAATTTCAGGACTTCAAGCGAGAATAGCGAAGACGGATGTAGTGAAGAGAATGATTCTGATCCTGTCAGAATCATTCTCTCGAACCACTTAGGGACATGGAATCATCATTGCTGTTGATGATGCAGATCTTGTCCCCTTTGCATCTGGTTTTTCGGCCGATATCAGCCTAATGAGTCTTTGCGTCGATTTTTTTATAATGCTTTTTTCTGATATCCTCATTCATGCTTACAGCCCGTAGTTGAAACGATGCTGCTCCAATTAGTGAAAGAGGTCACATCGCTGTTGATTCTGCTATTACCTTTGTTTAGTGCTTGTTGCTGTTATTTGGTGATCTTCACTACATCCGTCTTCGCTATTCTCGCTTGAAGTCCTGAAATTGCTGTCCGCATCTTCAGCCGACTTATCAGTCTTTATCTTGACATTTCTGAGTTTACGTGACTTAAGACATAAATGTTTCGCAGATTTCGGATCTTCTAGATTCTTCCTAATGGCCCAACGTCTTCCTGTCCTCGTGATCCACACTTCGCCGTTCCCAGGATTCCATTCAACCACATATGTAGAATGTCATCTACAAGTGTGATTAGTCTTGTTTTACTACTATATTCACTTCAGAGACTTCTCTGGGCTCTCTGTAGATCACTAGACATTTGCAATTGTCATATGGCTGTTAAATTAGGTTGATAAAAGTTTTGGACGTTCCAGTGTTTAACTAGTTAACAAATTACCTCATAGTCAACGCTGTCAAAGGCCTATAAAGAGGTGAGAAAATTGAGGTGCCATTGCATGCACTGATGAGTTATAATGTATGACACTTCTATTTGATCAGCACATCATTTGCTTCTCCCTAAGCCATCTTATTTGGGCGAGGTCCTGCATCCGGTGCATCCTTTAGTCTCTCAAGGAGGATGAAACTTAATACTTTGCTTGTCTTGGGTAGGAGCATGATTCCACACCAAGTTTTGCAATTTCTCATTAAATTCGTTGTGTACTGGACTCCGGAAAACCTCAGCCGACTTCCTAGCATTGTAAGTCACATGTATCTTCAGTCTATATGTTTATTTTCGCTTTCACTGAATGAAGACATACCGGCTGATTGTCTTCTAGAAGGCTCTCACAAGTTCGCATTGTCTCATCTCTCCGATTCTAACGAAGAATACTTTTTTAATGTTCCTCCTGCTGATCAGAGTTTTTTCTAACGATTATGTTAGTCTTCAAAATTAAGGTCTCTAGTCCAACTACCAGCCTTCCTGCTGTTTCCGGATGGAAGACTAGCTAATAAACTGGCGAACTAGTAAAAAAAAACATTCAGTATCGCATCGTAAACCGTCGACGAGGTTGATAATTGCCATTCTTCCATGGAGGCTTGAATTACCTTAAAAATGATTTATTTAGTGCAAACAACTGAACTGAGGTACGACAAATCACCGTCGAAAATTTAGGGAACATTTTATCCAAACATCTATAAGGACCTGTGATTTCTTACTTCAGTTAGTAGCTACTGCACAGTTCCACGTAATTTGTTGAAAGACTTGGTAATATGAGGGTTGTGAATCGTTATGTTTTTAGTTTTGAGAACGCAAAGATAGTTTGTCCGGAAATGGATAATAGGACACCAAGTGAGAGCAGTTATATGCATACTTAACGTGTGCATGTCTACATAAAGCAATCTCACACACGTTATACATGTCAGAATCAGTGAACAAAGCCAGTTGGTAAATTTTACAACTGTTTCGAAATCAAAATGTTCACTCGATGTCACACCTACTACAGTGATTTCGATCTGCGGATATGCAGTTTAACTGCATCAAACACTGTGGAAATGACTGGAGTCAAGGTGAAAGTGTTGGGAAAAGGCGGTTGAGGTAAGATTAGTATCTAAGGTGGATACTTGTTTTTTCTCGAAATAGTCTCTTTATGCATCTAAAAGGGTAAAATTATATCACACATTGCAACGTCACGAGGGTTACTGTTAGACGATTATTTTCTGGGAACAGACTTAAATGAGAGTGATGATAACCCCATTAAAGTGTTTCGATTTTTGGGAAACACCTTAGATAAAAAATGTTGGGGCAACGCAGTACTAAATTATTGGGGAAATGCATCGTTTACCTCCAAATTGTTTATTTGGGGCATTACATTTTTGAAAAAGTTCCTCCAAATTTTTACTATGCGCTAATTAGAACAATTATCTACATGGGGTAATAGTCACTAAATTGGTGTAGTTATAACTAAATATGGTGATGTGACTGTAACAGGAGGAACTATTTTTTCGCTTACCGTGCACTCATGTTCGCGTGTCTTCCGCGGCTTCTCGGTACTTCAGAACATTAAATGACCAGCTTCTCTCAATCTGGTTACCAGGTATTGATTATCTCATCGTTGGCAATGCTTCTGATAGTTAGGATCAAGGTAAAGGTGCTTAATTCGAATGCTACTATTCTGTGTTATGGGATAAAGTTAAATCCTGGTCTTCCTTTACTGGATATTCACAACTGTGTAATACCGAATGTGTTTTTATGTATTTGGCCACTTTGTCAGGCCACAGCTACCTATGTATTTTCCCATGAATGGATGGTAACAAGTGCCTTCGCTTTTTTGCCATTATTAGCTCGAGTCGTTTTTTGTGAATAAATGTTGATATTTAAAGAGGAAGATCTTGTTATTGTAATGATTAACTGCAACTTAAAAAATGTATCTTCAGCTAGGTCTTAGCATGTAAAGAGTTATAACTTCCAAAATATAGAAGTTCGTATTTTCTTTTGTTTCAATGTATGTCTATCATGTGATTGCATAGGGACGGAAACGCAGACGCTAAAGATGAAAGTGGACGATTACCAAAGGACTTTTTGTGTCTGTACCATGAAGATGTGCTAACTTTTATTTATTTCCGCTAAGTTGGTTCAGAAAGTTTTATAAGACTGCTTATTCCTTTGTTGTTTGCATCCACTCCCACCTAAAACACTATAAGAGTAAGGAAGTAACTCATAAGTTCTGGATGACATTAGTATTATGTTAAGAATAAAGGCTGATCTTGGGATCTCGTACACGATTTTTTTACTGAATGTTAGCGGTAAGATGCAGTGGTTGAACAGTTACTGGCTGTCTATTTGTAAATTCCAATGTAATAGGAGCAGACTGGGACTATTACCATTAAAGCTGTGTACAGTCTTTACCACACTGATAGTATTATAGTGTCACCGAAAACTGATTTTTATGTAAAATAAGCCTTCATGGTATATCGTATATTTAGTGCCAAAAAAGAGAAAATGAAAAGAGCTTATGGATATCGTTTGAGGATCATAAGCCAATCGATAAGGGCATGAGTCTTCATTCTTTTAAGCGGTTATAAGCTCCAGCAATGAACAATGGTAGCTTCAGTACATTCAGGTTGGAATGGTAACAGGAGGTTAACCTTGAGGATGGAACAAATCTATGCAATTACTGTCTACTTGCGTGGACTACATAAGTGGGTATAAGTTGTTTGACCAGGTCTTGGGGATGTGGATATATGACTTAAAGTTGTTCACAGGTGTGCTTGTACATTATATGGCAACTTAAGCTGATCATTCAGTCGTCAGCTAGCCCCAACGCTGTTCTGTTAAACTTATATTGAACAGACCTGTTGCAGAAAGTATTCTCCCAGGTCTTCCATAACACCATACGTTCGCTAATTCTTCACTTTCATCTACATTGTGACGTTACGTTTTTATTAACTTTGTCTCTTTTAACAGCTAATAATAGTGCTATTTTTTTACAAAATTATTACAGCAGCTATTCAAAATGCTAGAAATCTAACTTAGTCGACCCGAAAATGTTAGCATTCTTTTGCAGTTAGTTGAGGTATCTGTTCACCTGATAACAGAAGCTAACTGTGTTGGTTTGATGTTAGCAATGTTAACTAACATAGGGTTATGTCTGTCTGTCTGTTTTCGACATAGAACTTTGCACAAATGTGCGGAAGTTCAAGTCGCCACATTCCGTGTAGCACGCGAAGCAAGAAAAGAAAGTACAAGAAAAGCATAATAGAGACAGTGAGCAGAGGTGTGAGACAAAGGAGTAATAAAGAAATACAAAACAGTTTCATTGAAGATCATAAGTCACAGGGAGTGGATGCATCTGCGCCACTGAGAACGGTTTTGAGCCATGTCACCAATTGTTTCCAACCATAGATTTTTACCGTCCCGAGGACCCCAGCCTGGAAGTCTACACCTTTCTACGTGGCTTAGACCAACTGTTGTGGATTTCATTGACTGATGCGAAGTTTTTGTTTGACCGCCGCTAGCTTTTTTCCAGCCTGACCCTATATCCGCTAACATTGCTCTTCGGTCGAGGGAGGCGATGGCTTGGCATACGTAACACATGTCCTAACCATCTCAGTCTTTGTAGCTTCACGACTTCGTCGATTGATTTCCCCTGTTTACCTAGAACTCGACGCCTAACCTCAATGTTGCTCACCTTATTATGCCACTTTACACGGGAAATAGAACGCAGGCACCTATGATCAAAGACAGCTAGTCTTTTCATGTCTTCCACTCTCAGTGACCAGTTCTCACAACCATAAAGGAGGATGGAGCGGACTGATGAGCGATACACCCGCCCTTTGGTCGATAGTCGAACATCTCGTCTACGCCAGAGTCGGCGTAAGCTAACAAATGCGAAACGAGCCCCTTGTATTCGTGCTGAGATTTCGTCAGAGATCAACCCGTTGGCGTTGGCTGATGGTACTTCCCAAATAAGTGAAGCGGTTATACCTCATGTGATTATAATTGATATGATTATGAAAAATAAATTGTGTTCGAAACATCATCCACTAGGTAACACTGTTTCACTGCGTGATACATCTAATAAAAAAGTTAATATGGAATTACATACTACCAGAGTGCCCAGGTTGTACACTTTTATTAACATGGGGTTAGATTGAAAAAGAATCAGGGGTGGTCAAAATCACCAAATGGCGTCGCTAGTCCTTTTTAGTCTGATTCGTTCAGTAATCTGTCTTATCATACCTCTCAGGAAGTTCTTGATCTTTGTCTCCCGATTTTGTAGCATTTCGAATAACTTTCAAATTCACCTGAATAGGTGTAGCCTACGGTTGTGCAAAGGCAGAAGACTTTCCTGTTTTCTCGTAAGGGTAGTGAATAGTTTTATATTTAATAGTAGTTAGTGCAAACTCTTGCAATTACACTCGATAACGATCCGCAAAATCTAGTGAATGGTTAAAATGGTGAATCTGTCACCTGAGTGTAACTCACAGTACCAATCAATCAAATAACAGTATGTGCAAAAACAACTAATGACAATAATGTAAGTAGAATGACCAAAGACCTTAAGACGACATTAGACTTGATTCTACTTGTTGATGTCATTTTCCGTTGTTTAAACTCTTTTGAAAGGTTGTTTCAGCGTCACTGTATAACTATTTTCCCTGGCTACGTAGTAAAGTGTAGTTGTGTATATGTGAGTACTATACATTTCATTTGCAAGTCTGTTTGTCACATTTCCACTCAAATTCTCTTATACTTATTTTTCAGGTATTGCCAATGGAGGACTGGAAAACTTCTTTGAAATTACCACCTAAAGACAACAGAATTAAAACCATCGATGTTTTGTCTGAGAAAGGAAATACGTTTGAGGATTTTTGTCTCAAGCGTGATTTGTTGAAGGGTATATATGAAAAAGGTTGGGAGTCACCATCTCCTATACAGGAATCCAGCATTCCTATTGCTTTGACTGGTCGAGACATACTAGCTAGAGCAAAAAATGGAACAGGAAAGACAGGTGCTTATGTTATACCACTATTGGAGAAGATAGATGCATCAATCGGATCTCTTCAGGCGCTAATATTAGTTCCAACTCGTGAACTTGCTCTTCAAACAAGTCAAATTACTAAAGAGATTTCAAAATATTTGAATATTGAAGTTATGGTATCTACAGGAGGAACTAATTTAGTGGAGGATCTAATTCGACTTGACAAAGTGGTTCATGTACTTATCGCCACTCCTGGAAGAACTTTAGACTTTCTAAAGAGATCGCTTATCAAGACAGATAAATGCAGTGTGCTTGTTCTAGACGAAGCTGATAAATTATTATCCTTAGGATTTATTGTAAGTATGATTTTTATATGACTTTTATGTTTTAGGATCTAATTGATGATGTTATATGTAAGCTACCAACTGATCGACAAATCATGCTATTTTCGGCTACTTTTCCCATATCAGTACAGTCATTTATGAAGAAGCATTTGCATTCACCGTATGAGATTAACTTAATGGATGAGTTAACGCTTAAAGGCATTACTCAGTTTTATGCATATGTCCAAGAAAAACAGAAGGTAATCGAGGCTTTTAAATCTTTAAATACTTTTTTATAGGTACATTGTCTAAATACACTTTTTTCACGATTGCAAATTAACCAAGCAATAATATTCTGCAATACTGCACAGCGTGTAGAGCTACTGGCAAAAAAGATAACTGAATTGGGTTATTCATGCTACTATATACATGCACGCATGCCTCAGCATTATCGCAATCGTGTTTTCCATGATTTTCGAGCCGGTCATTGTAGAAATCTTGTCTGCACAGATCTTTTTACACGAGGTATTGATATCCCTCCTGTAAATGTAGTCATCAACTTTGATTTTCCTCAATATGCTGAAACCTACTTACATCGTATTGGAAGATCAGGTCGTTTTGGTCATCTTGGTATTGCAATCAACCTGATTACTTATGATGATAGGTAAAATGTTTCTTGCATGACTAACTACTCTTTATTTCTAGATATTCGTTGAAGGCTATTGAATCACAGTTACAAACCGATATTAAACCAATACCTCAGTCAATTGACAAACGTCTCTATGTAGCTGAATATCAATTAGAATCGCATTTGGATGAAGGAACACAAAGGGCGCTTCGTTATGGTTTAACACTACCAGAATTTCTTCCAGAAGAAAAACGTTTATGTGATGTTGTAGAATCGAATCCGATAAAGATTGTTAACCAAGCTTAATGCTTCTAGTTTATGTGATACAGATAACATTATTGCCTTTTTGTTTAATATTTGCATTTTTTTTGTTTGTTTGTTTATGAATTGCCTTTATAGACTATGATTTTGATGCATTTTTATTGTTTTCAACTTGTTTTATTGTTCCAATTTTGTGATGCATTTGTTTTTCATACAAATAGATTTGTTTTCTTTTTTGAATATCCTCGTTCTTACTTTAAAGGCAAGTATATCATGGTGTTTGTAATGAGATATCTGAACTACTTCCTTGTGATATGTCAAGCATACTAATGGCGCAGTAGTGGATTTAATTTGTAAACATTTGATATGTTTCAAGTTTGGTCATAGATTGATGTCAGTTAGAGGATCATTGATAACCAGGAATTAATGGACAACTGTTTCGTCCCAGTCTGGAAGTATTCATCAGCGACCCGACTGAGTAAAGAGCCTAGAACTTTCACCAACGACAATGGCTGGTGGTTGCGTTAAAATCACGGATTGACAGGTCATTGATCAACAGATTCGCCTGTTAACCTAAAGGTCCTGGCTTCGATTCTCGATGGAGTCGTGGATGCGTACTTCTGACGAGCCAGTTCCAAAATAGGACGAAACAACTATCCAGTACTCCCTAATTTTTTAATGATTCTCTAACTAAAATCAGTTCATGATCAAACTTGATTGAGTAATGTTTCACATCGATAGTAGTGATACGTTCATACGGGGGGATTATTTATTTTGCAAAATTATAAAACTATTTACAATAGTTTTCTGGAGACTAAACACAAAGCTTTTCATATATCATATTGGTCATTTCTACAGGACAGTAGTCGGCTTCTAAAATTTTGACATAGTTTTCTATGTAGATGATTTTGTTTTCTAATTCACTTTATACTAATTCATATAGATGCCGGCAGTATTTGAAGTTGCTGAGTTGGCTGAAGATTTGGATGAAGAGAAAAATTGGGAACCTGTTGAACCGTGTCTAAAATACAAACCTTTAAAGCATGGTTTATGCGATATAACCGCTATGGATTCCATCAGTTGTGTTGCAGTACACGAAAAAGTAAGCATCTTGCAGTTAGTGCATTTCTAAAAACCTATAACTTTCGAGGAAAACACCTTGTCATCATTCGAATGGTCTAAGTGAAAGCTAAGTATAAAAAAACTTTTGAGTATAAAGGCTTATTAATCGATTTATGGGAAATCTCAATTCTCATGTTCTAACTATGGATATATACATTTATGCGGTTTTATGAACCGACTGTCATCGTTTGATGTTATATACACTAACATAAAATAGTCATTTGTGTATTCGAAGGGAAGATCAAAATACTACAAATGTAGATCTGTCCAAGAATATGAAATAAATTGAGAATATATACCAAAGTCATTCGACTTATCTTATTTTTATTGCTTCATTCCTTTGCATTCTAAGAGGAACATAGAGCTACCTACCTTGAGCTGTAAAGTTTAAGTGTCACCGGTGTTTTTATACAGAGTGGGATTGCTAGCCAAATCTTAATTCTTTACCAGACTTACCACTGGGAAAGCGAGGTTTAGGAGTTCGTCGTCGGGGATCGATCTCTGAACCACGGAGTGGTTGGCGAGTATCCTACCTCTGACCTACCGAAGCACTTCACTGGACAAATGATTCTGAACAAAACACTATACAAATGTTCATAGAAAATAACCTATTTTCATCATTTTTGTATATAACTACTGTGGTAATGAAAAATATATAATGAAATCTTTTGCTGCATACTATATACAGGAATTAATAAAGGCATTCATACTTCTTCCCGTCACCCCTGACTGTGTGTTAATTTACTCATTTGACCTTTAAGGGTACAAGCGGTATGAGTATAGTTGATGTTTCCTATAATTCTCAGAAATTCTCTTGAAATTTCTAGTTAAAATAGACTAAATCCTGGGGTAGTATAGTAAAAATATCTTAATGCTATAACTTAGGTTACGAAAACCATGTCTTTTGTTACGGGTATCTAACTACATGACTGGTTTCAACACAGGACTTCGTACAGAAGTACAGCATTTCGAATTGCCACAGTCCATGTAGCTCACAAAGCAAGAGAAGAGAGTAGAGAGAGATTCAAAAGAGAGAAACAATAAACAGAAGTGTGAGGCAAAAAGAACAGTAATATGGTAGGACAATAGAATTTTATTGGATATTACAAATCACAAAGAGTCAAAGCATCTCTGTCAGCCATTGAGAACGATTTTGAACCATATCACCAATTGTCTCGAGCCTTCATTGGTTTTTACCATCCCAAGGACTCCAACCAGGAGACCAGTCTGCACCTCCCGACGTGGCTAGCTTAAATTAATTGTTGTGGGTTTCATTGACTGTTGAAGCCATATTTCGGTCTGACCACCACTGGCTCTTTTCTAACCTGATCCATCCTATTTCAGCTAACATTGCCTGTTGAGGAAGGCGATGTCTAGACTAGGCATGCGTAGCACATGTCCTAACCGTCTCAACCGATGTAACTTCACAACGTCATCAATTGATTTTCCCTCCTTACCTAGCAGTCGACACCTAGCCTCAATATTACTCACCCTATTATACCACTTCGCATGGGAGATAGAACGCAGACGCTTACGATCAAAGGCATCTGGCTAGCTTTTTGATTTCTTCCACTTTCAATTTCCATGTCTCACAGCCATAGAGGAGGACGCAGAGAACTTCTGAGCAGTACACAGTCCTTTGATCGATAGCCAGCTGGATACCACGTCTATGTCAGAGATGGCATAAAATCGTATACCAAACACTTACTCCTGTTAAATGTATGCACATATATTCATGTAAGACGGAGTTATTAGTGTCTGCTGCTCTGAAAAGTTCTTATTTAAAGTAGTAGAGTAGTTCTAATACTTCTCCTTATGGCCTTTTCCAATGATACTATTTCTGCTTAACTAACATTGTATCATCTATTTCACGCGTGTCGTGATATTCGCACTCACATGTACACGGTAAAAGTATCCTCATTAAGAAGTAAAATTAATCAAATGCTTAAATGTGTTCTACTTTCTATATGGGTTGGCTCAACTGACATACTATACGTCTTTATTTATGGTTTTGGTTGCTAAAGTTAATAAGAAAATGTTAAGGTCTTATTTCTTAAGTTGCTGTGATCATACTACTTGACATCATAATTACTTAGTCACTTTTATACTTTTTGACTGTATATTTTTTCAGTGGTTTTGCAATTATTAGTGTTCTCTGAGCTGGTTGGTTTAGTTGCAGAGCTTTCGTCGTCCACCTTCTGGACAACATCCCCTTTCAGCGCAATTTATAGCCTAAAGTGAACTGATTTAAACTTTTTTTCATAAGTGACAGAATTGCGTCTCCCGGTAACCATCTTTACATCTGTATTGATCATTTTCTATTGACTTGGATTTTAAATTTTCTGGTCACATGATCTACTTTTTATTAGTGGGTATATTTGGTCTATATTAATTAACATGTTTGTTAATTGCAAATCATCCACCTGAGCCACAAATCTCCAATTTTTTTTGTAGTTTATTGCAGTTGGGACTGAATGGGGACGTGTACATCTCCTAGATCATAGTGGTTTTCCAGTTGAAAATGGAATACATAGTGTGGTAAGTATGGTAATCTTTCTGATTAACCAGTGCTAATACATACCTTTTATGCAGTTAAATTTTAACTGATGATTTCAATGGAGGAGCCAAAAAAAATAATCAGAATAGCATGGAGGGTTTCATCATGAGCTGACATCAGTTAGAGAACCTTTGGAAAACCAGCTGGGAGTACTCGACAGTCAGCTGTTTTGTCCTAGTTTGGGACTCTTCAGTAGTACGCACCCACCGGGGTTTGAACCCAGGACCTTCTGGTTACAAGGCAAGCCGGTTAGTAGACCATTGAGCTACTGGGACCCGATCCAATGATCCTTGAATCCTAACTTCTGCCAATTCACGACATAGCGCGAACATTTCGCAATGTCTTCTTCGATGAGTTACTGCCTCATCTTCAACCTGCTGTATCCTACTGGTCACGGCTTCCCACTAGAAATCCTCCATGCAATCAAACATAAAATCCCTACAAAACCAATACTTGAAAAATAATTAGAATGTTATGACAGGGTTGATACTGGTTTCTGGGTTCGTTTAACTAGAGATGAAGGCGACACTACAACCAACTGATCACTTGAATTTATCTCCCATACTGAGATAGACGCTAAAGTCAAACTGGGAAAAAACCGCGACTTTTATTACTCAAAATGCATGGTTTCTTATATTTATAAAATCTCAGGGATATAAGCCACATATGAAAAAAATATGATTGGTTTTATGAAATCAGAACATTAAGCTATACATCATGACTGCACGACTAATACAGAATGTACAAAGCAATAGTTTATTGATTATCGCATAAGTTGACAACAACTGATGCATGTGCACACAGAAATTTTATTGCCTTTGGCTGAAAGTCATTTATTCAGTAGGGTTTTCATGCTTTAGGCTGTAAGCCACACTTATTTTTGTTAGGGTTAATGATGCTACTGAATTCCTCAGGCTAATTTAAGTGAAGATAGATTCCTGTCTGAGTTTCTACTGGTTGAAAGTGAACTCCCCACCTTCATAAAGACGGATATATAATAACTAGCTGTCTAGAAAGTCTCACCTTATTGCAAGCATTAGCTGAGAATCCAAGTATATTCGGATGATGAGTTCCAAATAGGACGAAATCCACATCCTTGATTCCACTAATAATCGCATCCAACAAGCAACATCACGCTGGTAGTCCGATTTCTACTTGGAATAATGGATAAGATGTATCTGCTAATTAGCATAAACTGAATTTCTGTATGAGATTCAAATACGTACATTTGTCTGTTAAAATCACCGGAATATCGTGGTTATGATATTGTCTTTAATGTTTAATATCTCTGGTTCATTGGTCTAGGCGCTGGACTTCCAACCATTGCATCAACTGTTCGAATCTCCACTATCCCTTACACCGCCAACTGCTGATTGGACTAGATAACTTCTTAAGACTACAGTATAATCCAGTGTAGTTTTTGACGAGGAAATCCATAGTTTATGCTGAAATGAGTCATTGACAGTTTCCTTTGCCACTTCTTATTTTAAAGTCTTGAATTGTTTCTTATACACTTTATATTTCCCCATTCTCTCCTTTTTCGAATATATCTAAATCTTTCCTTTAAACGCTTCTGCAATTTTGAACTAAGTTGATTAACACTTTTTATTCTCACTTCAGTAATAATGGTTATCGAGATAAGTTCATTGATACAAATATGAATTTAGCGCTAAAGCAAGTGCTTAGTATAGCAACAGCTCCTCAGAAGTCATTGTTCATAAAAACAGCAGTTTCTTAGTAATAAAGCCAACGAAATAGTAACACAGCACCTGAAGAATGCAGTTAAAGGAACACTCAATACAGCAGAATTACACTGTCTCTTCACAACCACTTTAATTTCACGTTCGAGAAATTAGCATAAACTATCTAGTTTCTCCTCCTGTATGTTTATCTAATAGTTTGATTGCTCCTGGATACAGTTAGGCAGGGTCATCATCATATTTCCAAACATCATCCTGTATAGTTAAGCAAAGGACAAAATAAGATCAATTTTATCTCTGTTTTAACACACCTTGTTGACAGTGAGGATACAGTTGATATTGACAAAACATTTAAAGTTATTTCAGATTTCAGATTTATTGTTTGAGGATAGAAGGCTTGCAGCCTATGTTAATCCTTTTCTAGTAGATTTCTGTGGTTGTCCAAACCCTTCTTGAACGAATCAATTGAGGTTGCAGACACCACTTCTTCTGGGAGTCGGTTCCAAGAGTTTATGACTCGATGTGAGAACCAGTACTCAACAGCAATATGATTTCTCCTTGGCTTTTGAACTCTCCTGCTATGTCCTCTAAGGTGTTCCGACCTGGTGGGAAGGAAAAGAGAGAATAGGTCAGGTCCGTAGTCATTATTTAAAATTTTAAACATTGTGATTAAATCTCCTCTCTGCCTACGGTATGACAGTGAGAAGAGATTTAAACTATCTAGTCTTTCCTCATATGATAAGTTAGCTATGCCGTGAACCATACGTGTTGCCTTCCTTTGAACACTTTCTAGAATGTGTGAATCCCCTTTTAGACACGGACTGGCGGCCTGGATGCAGTTTTCCAGTCTTGACCTAACCAGAGATGTGTATAAGGAGGTGAACATATCTCTGGTAATTCTTGTAAAGGCTCTGCGAATCGCCCATAAGGACCTGAAACTACGTGCAGCCACCGCGCGACAGTGTGCTGTAGTTTTTAAGTCGTGGCTAACTATGACACCTAAGTCCAAGTGAGTCTGAACTGATGGAAGTGTTATTCCCTCTAGTTCGTAGGAGCTCGTGCTTGCTTGTCCAATGCGCATGGTTGCACATTTTGCCACGTTGATCGGGAGCATCCATTCAACAGACCACTCCGACAGTTTGTTGAGGTCGTCTTGCAAGGTGGACGTATCACTGTTGCCCTTCAGCTCCCTCCAAATTTTTAAGTCATCTGCGTATAGGACCATAGGGGAGTCGGTGAGCAGAGGTAACTCATTGATATACAGAATAAAAAGGAGAGGACCGAGAACCGTGCCTTGTGGCACTCCGCTACTTACTGCTGTCCAGGAGGAGAGTTTTGAGTTGATCCTAACCCTCTGCCTCCTATCTATGAGGAATTCCCTGAGCCAGTCTAGTAGTCTGCCTTTGATACCAAGACTTTCCAATTTCATGAGTAGTCTTTTGTGAGGTACTTTATCAAAGGCTTTACTGAAGTCTATGAAGACGACGTCAACGGGTCTTCTGTCATCCTTTGATTTAACCCAGCTTTCTCTTGCAGTCAGGAGATTTGACAGGCATGAGAGGTTCCTCCGGAAGCCATGCTGTGCTCCAGATAACAAGCTGCTATTTTCCAGATAAGCCATGATGCTTTTCTTGATAATTCTTTCCAGTGTCTTGATTAAAGTGCTGGTGAGACTGATAGGCCTGTAATTTGAAGGGCTTTGTCTTGATCCTCCTTTGTGTATGGGGGTTACTATGGCGTCTTTCCAATCACGTGGCAACACTCCATTTTGGAGAGATAGCTTGAAGATCGTGGTCAAGGGGCCGGCTATGTGGGCTGATAGCTCCTTGAGAAGCCTTGGATGAAGACTGTCAGGACCCATTGATTTTCCTGCATCTAGTTTCATTAAGAAGTTGAGCACGATGCCTTGGTCGATGTCAACGGAATCTATCCCATGTTCTTCTGATGCAGCCAGAGCTGATCCTATAGGCAGTGATGACTCCTGAGTGAAGACTTGGGAGAAGTAGTTTGCCATTGCTTCTGCTTTTTCTTGATCTTCTTCGATTGTATCTTTGTCAATAATCAGGTTTGGGACACCATTGGGTGTTTTATTCCTGAAATTCAAGTACGAGAAAATTTTCTTAGGTTGTGCCTTTGCATTTTGGGCCAGGTGTGTCTCGAACTTCATCCTTGATTGGCGGATTTCTGCGATAGCTTTATTTCTAGCAGTAGTATATAATTCCCTGGTCTCAGAAGTCTCAAGTGTTGCAAACAGGTTCCAACATTTGCGTTTACGTCTGAGTAACTTACGAATCTCCCGGTTTATCCAAGGGGGGGAATGTTTCCGACCCTTTGGAACAGACCAAGGGATGAAGGGTACAGTTACTTGGGCGTAAAGTTGCTTAAATTGGTTCCATGCGGCTTCTACTTGGGACTCTGGATTGATGTACCAGTTTACTGAGTTGGCTGCTGAGACGATCGCATTTATGTCAGCTTTCCAAACGTTTGGTCGAGCTGGGGTTTTGGCCCTTGCTGCCGTTGCTGTGAACTTGAAAGTGAGCACAGCATGGTCACTTCTTCCTAACGGAGGAAGATGTTGTATGAGATCCACATCCTCACCGTGTGAGAACACTAGGTCCAGAGTTGATGAGGAGTGCTGTGAGTCATAGCGCGTGGGCTTAATGATATGTTGGACTAGGGCTAGCGATATACTAGATTCTAGCAGTTTATGGTCAAAGGAGTTGACTGAAGATGGAGTTGTTAGGCTCGACCAGTCAACTGTTGGGGCGTTGAAGTCACCGACTACGAGACTTCGACATTTTGAAGTCCAGGAGCCTAGCTTCTCTATTAGGAAGTCGTCTGCACTGCAGTCAGGACTGCGGTACACAGCAATGAGGTCAATGTCTTGGCCTATGCATTTAAGTCTGCAGCGTAGAAGTTCGCACGACTCACTTTCGTGGGCGAGTGCTTCGATACTACGCACGGTTAAGCCTTTCTTGAGGTAGATGACTACGCCCCCTCCTTTGCGGTTTAGTCGGTCTACCCTGTGCACTTCGAAGTTTGGCAGGTTAACTTCGTTGTCAGTGACATCGGGTGTGAGCCATGTCTCTGTGATAATAATTACATCCGGGTTTCCGGTTTCTATCATGTTTGCCAGCTCAGTCCTTTTATTTAACAGGCTGCGGGCGTTTGTGTAGCAGACTGTTAATTCAGATTGGTGCTTCCCCGGCCCACCCACAGAGGTTTCGGGATCATTAAACTGCGAACTCGGACAACCCGAAAACCCTTAATCTTAAGGTTCTTCTCACCGTTCCGGCGTCGCTCACTTAATTCTAGTGCCGCAGCCTGTCTTTTGACACGGTCTGCCAGGCTTAAGTCAGCGCGGACATATATCCCTGATCCTTTGAGAATATGAGAGTTGCTTAGAATAGCGTCCCTCTCCGCTTTAGAGTTTAGTACGACTTTGAGGAGACGTACAGGTTCACTTACTGTAGGGTCAGGCTTTTGACCTATTCTGTATACGCTGTGTATAGTAATGCCTGATACTGTTTGTGGCAGTAGCTTGTCTAAAAGGGGCTTGACCAAGTTAAGGTCATGCTCGAATCTGGTCTTAGGGTCGAGGGCCAGTGACTCCTCCACTTTGTGGAGAATGAGAGACCTATCAGAGAGATCGGGTTTGCTTTCCGTTACTTTCTTGCCCTGAGGCGTAAGTGTGTTTCTATCCTTCTTGGGCGGTGTGGCCGAAGTGTTATCCTTATCTCGCTTTTTGCGAGAGACTACGGTGCGCCATTCATTGGCGTCCTCCTCGCTAATCTTAGTGGGGTTCGTCTGTCTGCTGCTCACCGGTGTGGATGAGGCTTGTTCCGCCAGTCCCTGGGCGACTGGGGCTGCAGGTTTTCGACCCCTAGTACGCCTCTTCTTCACGGCAGTCTTTCCATTACTGTCACTGGAGGGCTCATCCAGTATCGTGGGGGCGACCTGGGTGTCTGTAATATGGTGGGTGTTCTTCTGTGCTGTAGAGCACTCACTTATTGGCAAGGTCGCATCTGGGACATGTGCTGTTTTGTCAATGACGCTAGTCACGTCATCGCTATCTGAGCAATAGTCGGTATTCTTCTGTGGTGGAGGACGCTTGCAGTCCATGAGCTTTAAAGCCCCACTAAGAGTAGCTATGGCTTCTGTAATACGGAGTTTAGTTGTACTACAGCAGTCGTTGCATAACCAGTTCGCTAGAGGTTTGCAGCAGCGTTTGTATGCTGCTGGAGTAAGGTTCGTGCACATACTGTGAAACCATCTCTTGCAGTTATCACACTGCATTCCCTCATCCACTGGAAACTGGCACATAGCCCTTCCGCAGCGGTTTCTTTTAATAGGCATTTTATTTAAAACGAACCAGGAAAAGTTTAATACAACTTCAAATATATATATATAACCTTTGTAAATCAGTGATAAAAGCTAATGAGTGCACAAAGATAGATATATGTGGCTATTATGTTATAAGAACACTTATTATAATTAATAGACTCAGATCTGAAACGTAAACTAACTTCGACCAGAATAAACTGATTTAAAGTTAAATCTGTGGACTTTTGAAGCGTATAACACAACAAAATCCAATTATAAACAAGAGCGTGAAAATTAACTCCCTTTTCAAAGTTATCCTATTCCGATTAATACTAATTTTGCTTTACAACTTCATCTTCTACATACAAATGAAGCCATCAGAATTCACCTGAAGAGGCCGAACCTACGTGTCCAGAAGAAATTTGTATAGTCGCTTTCCTAACCTTGGTCATCATTACGTAATTGTTAAAGTGTGACAATTACAACCCCCCCCCCGCCTCCCGTGAGCCTTTGGAAAATTACAACTTCACCTATTATTGTGACTTTTTTATATTCCTTTACGTTCCCAGTGGAACATAGCACTTCAAGATACAGCTTTGAAGTTTCATTAGCAGTGGTGTCTTTTTTTTATGGAGTGGGGTTGGTAGTCTCACGTTCAAATTCCCTCCCCCTTTGTCGGAATTATAACCGGGTAAAGATGTGCGCCGGCTGGGACTCCAACCCTGGACCACATGCATGGTCGGCCAGCACTCTGCCGCTGAACCACAGACGCACATTATTCTGACTAACTGCATCTTTAATTTGCTCATTACGTAATCATTCCAAATATTGATTCATATCTTAATTACTTATTTTTCCGAAATGATGCATTTTGCAAATCGCTTGTTTTATTTCTACCCTTTAATTGTTTGTATTAATTTTCGCTGTTAATTATTACCACCCCCTTGACATGTTGCTACACTAAATTGTATTAAAAAAATGCTACATGCATATATTGAAGTAGAGCCAGAAATGAGAATCTAATTTGAAAAGTAAATATTTCTTCGTTCAGTCCTTTTTTTGTCTTTTAAATGGCTAAATGAAGGTTTTTCTGTATTCAGTTTATTTTGTTAAACTAGTATTGTTAAGTATTACTGCCTTTTATTAGATTTTGAATAAATTTGTTGAAGGTTAGGAATCTGTAGGAAATATCAATAGTTGATACCTTGCGTTCAGAAGTACTTCAGTGTGATAACAGTGTTTATAACTGACTAGTGCATGTAGTTTTTAAGTGTAAGTGACCCTTCTGAGGTGAGAATATTCAATGACTCTTTATGATGAATCATTACTGTTACCTGTAGGCTGAGTTGTGTTCATTTTTGATATCATTTAAGTGATTCTGAGGTGAATCGACATGTATTAGCATAAAGTATCGATCATTTAAGGACATTGACTTTGGTAGCTTGGATTTAGTGTTTCTAAATATTACTGTGGATACTTCCATTCTTGTTGGAAGAAACACAAAGATAATCAACTCATGATGTATCTCTGTAGAATGATGTATAGTTAATCTAGACTAACATATCCTGGAGAAATCATGAGTTCTAGCGTGGGGTTGAAAAAATCATGCGTCTTATTGTCTTAATACGATATCAGATATGACAGAATACAAATCGGTAGCTATCAATAATACAGCGTCTTTACTTCTTCTAAACGAAAATAGGACGTTGAAATTAGGAAATGATTTGAGGTAGGTGAATGTTGGTATATACAGCTAAGGGTTTTTAACGGTAGCACTTAAATTTTATTCTAAACCCTAAGTATATCGTTAACAAATGCTCCTATAAACGTCATGGTAGGACTGAGGGTGGTTGGAATTCTGTCTTCCCCTGGAAATGCTCTCGTATGACCATTCATTCATAGACTCTCGCTGGCAGGTCCTATTCATTGGCTTTACGCGGCGGGTGAATTTGGACGTCTGGCGCTTACAGCCGAACTGGTGGACAGGGTAATGTACCTAGGAGGACTGAAAAACCCTGATTCCAATTCTATGGTATACATTGGCTCTGCAACTCGAAAGGATCGAATAGCATACGAACTTGTTTTTGATACTAGAAGCCATCGAAACGCTGCTCCACACTGCCTTGTGAATCAGACTTCTATTCAAAGGTTTAATCAAGATGCCTCAGTCTGGGAGTCCAGACAGTATCCCAGCCTTCGCACAAACTATGAGATTTTATGTGGGGCATTCATTAGCGCCTATAACGTAACAAGTTTGTGTTTTGATTAAGTAATATGGTTGATATATACTATCCCTTAATTTTTCTTCAGATACCTTCTTAATTCTCACTTTGTTTTAAAGCATTACAACTTTTGAAGTAAGATTCCTTACATTGACCTATCTGTCATTTATTTCTTATCAGTTCGGTGTGCACGTGTATTGTAGCAGCACGTTTTCTTCACTGAAATCAAAGTATCCACTACAGTTCTACAGGTAATCAATTGCGAGCCCGAATAATTTAGTGATAATGTCTCTGACTGCTAGCATCCACTGGGTGACGCTGATTAGATTCCCAGAAGGGGCATGAGTTTTTTGAAGACTGGAGATACTCCTTGTTGACTGGTGAGTGCCAAAAATCATGAAACCTAGGTGATATAAGGCTTCCTGTCGATTGCCTCCCATCATCTAAAAATATTCCTTTTTCTTTTGAACCAGATCAATTCTTGTCACCAAATGTTGATTCTTTAGTTTCGTTAAGTATCATTCTAGGAAATATGCATTTAATGAGGCTTCAATAAGATTTATATAATTATTTACTTATAGAAAATTTGAGTTTTTTTTTTAATAGATAGGTATACATTTCAAGATTGTCTCATAAGTGAACTGAACTATGAATACAACTGTCATATAACATTAATCATTGATTAATTCGAGATAAAAATTAATATTTTGTAGACTATTAATATGAAATTTTTGTGTAATCAATTAACTGTAAATACATGGACTGACTATTTAATGTTTGTCATCCTTTGTTTATACGACAAAAACCAGTCATTCATTCAAAACAATATTCTGTTAATTTCATTGGATTACTTAAATGTAAGCTGTATTTATTTAGAACATGAATTTTCTAGGCATTTGGATGAATTCTAACATAGGATTGGTCACAAGCTGACATCAGTTAGCGAATTACTGAGAATCATGAATGACTGTTTCGTCCCGGTTTGGGACTCTTCAGCGCTCATCAATTATGACAACCATAACCCTAGGGATTTACAAAGCACTTAGACTTATAATTATCTTCTAACGATCAAATATTATGCTTGTGTTAGGATGGACAAGATTCTTTGGTAGGCTTGAAGTTGTGATTTATGTATGCATGTACTGACATGGTAACTTGATTGAACTGTTTTGATTCGCTTAATTTTCTGAGGGGATTTCAGCGTCAGATTCAACCAATCAAATTTATTTTTTTATCTGGAGCCTGAATTTCTGAGACTTTTTCTAGTGAGTGTTGTCGGTTTCTGCAAGTCTGACTTCTCTGTCTATCTTAGTGTGGGAGATATTTTCAGGTGACCGATTGATTATAGTGTCGTGTTGTGGAGGCGCATTCTAGTCAATTTGGATTATCCCTCAATGCGGTAACACTCTGGTGTAATAGTTCACCTGAGAAGAGATGAGAGAAAACAAAATTAGACTTCGTTATATTATGTAAATTCTGCAGACTTTCACCAACATCTGTCTTCGCCTCACACTCGAGATCAGACGGCTAGAAATGATTAGCAACAAGAAACTTTGAAAACGAACCAACCAAATTTGGCGAAGGAAATGGAGATGGACTGGACACACGCTAAGGATGCAGCTGGGTGACATCACGCGCTAGGGCATTACCCGAGTGGAACAACGAATTGGGTACAGCTCCAAGGGTGATATGGAGGGAATTGTATAAGAAGGAGATGAGAACATATGGGTGATCATAGGGGTCATCTGCAGAGGACTGGGTGAAGTGGGGATGCGTTGCTGAGACTATATATTCCGCTGGGAACACAAGGAAATACTAATAATGTGTGAATTAAAGCTTTCAATTTAAAATATAAAAAAAACCCAGCTTGATCAATGTTCAAATTTACTCATTATGCGGTTACTTTTATTAGTCGTGTATATTAAGTAACAGTCTTGCAGGGAACAGTGTTTATCTTCTACTGAACTGAGATTTTTGTTTCATTCATTTGCGTTTTGTTTGGAACACATTCGGCTTCAAGCTTTCAGCTTTTAAGTTTCAGTAGCATTGGTGTTTATTTCACGAGGGGATGTTGCTAGCCTCACATTCAATCTTCTCTCTTTGGTAGGTTTAGAAGTGTATCGGTTGGGAATCGAACTTCAGACCACATGAGGCGTGATTGGCGACCAAAGATTATTCTTGTTTCTACAACTCACTACTGTATTTATAATACATAATTTACTGTATCTATATAACACGATCTATATTTATTTTGTTTTACTTTTTTTTCAGCATAGTACATCTGTTAATCATATTAGTATATCGGAACAAGGTTATTACATTGCAAGTTGTGGAGATGATGGACGTGTAAGTAGAGAATACTGTTTAAATCTATTGAATAATTTCAAAAGTTATTATTTTTTACAAATCATTGTCGTATTTGGAGGAAATCACAGAATAATTCTTAGAGAATATTATTAATTAAAAAGTTCCGTCTTAGTTTAAGACTATGCATAACGAATTCAATTCAAAGCATTCAAAAGGATGAACTCTGTTGAAATTATTCGCATTTCTCCACAATAACATACGGTATTTGATTTGATGTAATAACATGAAGCTACCAGCGACTGTAGATGAAATACTCTAAACTACTTGTAAGATCAATTTTATTCCCATCCTTGAATCAAGTCAACCTGTCCCGGATCAGCCTAGAGTTGTTGCAACCCAATTATCCATGCCTAACGTGTCTATCCCTGCTTGTTTAATGAACTGTGAGTATGTGTTTTTACCTCGATCTGTTTAGTCAGACAGTTGAACTCATGGCCCAATCAGAGTATTTTGTGAACTGTTATTTTTGCTGACCCATGTCTAACTTTGTACTATTCTGTCGAGTTTATCTTATTTATTGATTTTCATCTGTATTTTCCTACCTGGTTAAGTAGCCAATTAAATTCTATCTTGGTGCCTATGCTCGGTCTATCTCTCTTAAACGCTCTCTGTTTTATGCCATACCTTACTTGGGTTCATTCTTCTACTGACTGCTTACCTGAACGGTCGTGTCTGGTTCCGGCTAGTTCGCAATTTTGGTTTTAACGTTATTCCGCTCTGATAGCGGTACCTTGCTTTCTGTTAAGCGTTGTGCTTTGTACTCTTGAAACCGTTAAGGTTTGTTGTATATATAATTATTGATTTGTTTATTAATAGTACCGTAGAAACAGTGACCGGCTTCTTGTTTGTTCTGGACCGGGATAGCCTTTATCTACGCGTGACTTAATTTCAAGCAATATTGCGCTTACAGTACTTAACGTAGTACAAAACGCTAAAGGGATCGAGACCATACTGAACTGGTCAGTACTTAACGCCAAACGGATCGAGACTTTACTGAACTGGTCAGTATTTAACGTCAAATAGAAAATCCCGTACTGAACTGGTCAGTACTGAGCGTTCATCGAGAAGAAACTGTGGTGAATTGGCAGCACGCAACGTTGTTGAAAATACATTGTCTTTGGAACAATGCAAACCAGATCAAGGAATCAAATTTCGGAGCAGCAGTCGGAGAGTCGGCAAGTCCCCGTTCGTATAAATGATCATGTTGATAATCTTTCGTGCCCCGGCTCTCATGTCAGTAGTTCGAAATCATCATTATCGCGAGTAACTAGTGCTAAGTCTTCGCTACTAAGGGCGCAGCTAAAAGAGAAACAGCTTCGACAGGAATTAGAGTTAGAGAAAAAGTTGCTAAAGGCTAGACATGATGTCGAAATGGCCGAGCTGCATGTGAAGTTAGCCGCGGACGACGAACGGAACATTGAGGAATATGAAAGAGCCAGTGTCATTGATAACCGGGAGCAGCTAGAACGATATGTGAAAGATTGTGCCGCAATGGTTGGCGGGGACGCTCCTGTTACGGTCGGGAAGAGCGCGGTCGTAGAGAAACTTGACATGCCTAAGGTTGAAATGTCCTATTTTGATGGCAACGGTGCTGACTACTTGAGATTTACCAAGGAATTCGAGTATTATGTCGAGAATAGAGTAAAGGACCCTGGTCAAAGAATGTTATATCTGTTGCACTATTGTAAAGGTCGAGCTAAAGCAGCCATACAGGAATGTGTGATCTTGCGTCCTGAGAGTGCGTACGCGCGAGCTAAGGGTATCTTACAGGATCTGTTTGGGGAGATCCACGTCATCGCACGAAACCGTATTGAAGACATGATTAGAAGCCTACGACCTGTGGCAGAAGATGGAGAATCTCTATCCCGTCTATCAATACAGCTTCAGAATTGCCTGATTGCCCTAACTGAAATGAACTATTTGTCGGACTTAAATTCCGTAACAACTCTCGAGAGAATAGTACGCATATTGCCGATAGCAGTTCGAAGGAATTGGGCCAGACTAGCAGACGCAAGAAATCAAGAAGGGCAAGAGCCATCTTTTCAGGATCTTTGCCAGTTTGTTTCTACAGAGGCAAGAGTGGCACGAAGCCGATACGGACGCCTCGTTTCAGAGGGCTTTAACCGCCCGAACGCCCAAGTTTCACCAAATAGACAGGGTCGTCATGGGGGCACATCATTCGCAATACAGGGAGAAAGGACCCCTGCACCCAAGCGACTGTGCATTCTCTGTAGGTCTGACCATGCTACTGCTTCATGTCAGAAGTTTGTTGGATTAGATGTGCGAGACAGATGGAGCTGCGTCCGCCGCCATAGAGCATGCTTTTTGTGCTTAGAGGTCGGACATCGTATCGATCATTGCGTATCGGGTATAAAGTGTTCCAAAGTTCATTGCAGTGGTAAACATCACCCACTGCTACATGTTGAACCGGTCGTAAATCAAGTGGCAGAACAGGGGACATGTGCTGCTACTATGCATTATGGAACGGCAGTTATGCTAGGTGTGATTCCCGTCAAGGTGCGGGCCCGCGGTAAGGAAACAGATACTTATGCCTTTCTGGATAACGGCTCCGACGTTACCTTAGTTACGAAGGATCTATTGAGCAGCTTAGGCCTAGAGGGCACACCATCGTCTATTACCTTGACAACAATCAATGGGGCGAGTCAGGTTCAGGGCAACATGTGCGAACTGGAAGTCGCATCAATGGATGAAAATGAAGTGATAAGACTTGACAGAGTGTTCGCGTTGCCATCCCTGCCGGTCAATGCACCCTCACTATCGGTATCACAAGAGGCCCGTCGCTGGCCACATCTCCAGGAGTTGCCATTCCGCGAACTTGATGATAAAAGGGTCACGATGCTCATAGGTTGCGATGTTCCCGAGGCGCATTGGGTCCTCGATCAGCGTTTGGGTAGTCGCAAACAACCTTACGCAATCAAGACATTGCTCGGTTGGGTCTTGCTAGGGCCACTTCATGGAAATACGGAAAGAGGCACTGTCAACTACGCTCGAATCAGCGAAGACAGTATTAAAGACGACATCAGAAGTCTACGTGAAGCTGAGCTTAAGGATACTGAAGAAAACGAACACTCATTTTCTATCGAAGATCGTAAGGCAAGCGAGTTGGTTACTCAAAGCACCGTCTTAGAAAAGGAGCATTACATCATTCCCTTGCCATGGAAAGATCCAACAAAGGTAACGGACAATAATTATGTAGTCGCCATAAAGCCGTTACTCAATCTGAAACAGAGGTTATCGTGTGACAAGAACCTTTTAGCACGATATGTGGATGGGATAAATACGATGTTAAAAAATGGTTATGCCCTTCCGGTACCCCCAGAGCAGCTAGCAGCGAACTATCGTTCGAGGTGGTATCTTCCACATCATCCCGTTATGAAGCCGAAAAAGCCAGATAAACTGAGATTAGTTATAGATTGCGCCGCAAACTTTAGAGGTTATTCTTTGAACGATAAGCTATATCAAGGACCTGATACGATTGCCGAGCTTGTTGGTGTTCTGTTGCGCTTTCGAGAAAAGCCTATTGGTGTAGTCGCGGACATAGCTGATATGTTTATGCAAGTGAAGGTGCCAGTAGACGATCGAGGAGCATTACGATTTCTGTGGTGGCAAGATGGTTGGCTAGGCGTTGGCCGCGAGGAGTTATTGCGGGATGCGAGCAATCCGCGGACGGACTTGTCAGAACGGTTACAATAAGAACGAGAAACGGCGAGGTGAAGCGCGATATACGTAAGATATGCCTACTAGAGGGAAGTCATTTGTAAGAGAGCCGGGCACGAGGGTTATTCTGTATAACATGATTCATAAAATCCTAGTCGGATTTTGGGGGCCGGTGTAAGATCAATTCTATTCCCATCCTTGAATCAAGTCAACCTGTCCCGGATCAGCCTAGAGTTGTTGCAACCCAATTATCCATGCCTAACGTGTCTATCCCTGCTTGTTTAATGAACTGTGTGTATGTGTTTTTACCTCGATCTGTTTAGTCAGACAGTTGAACTCATGGCCCAATCAGAGTATTTTGTGAACTGTTATTTTTGCTGACCCATGTCTAACTTTGTACTATTCTGTCGAGTTTATCTTATTTATTGATTTTCATCTGTATTTTCCTACCTGGTTAAGTAGCCAATTAAATTCTATCTTTGTGCCTATGCTCGGTCTATCTCTCTTAAACGCTCTCTGTTTTATGCCATACCTTACTTGGGTTCATTCTTCTACTGACTGCTTACCTGAACGGTCGTGTCTGGTTCCGGCTAGTTCGCAATTTTGGTTTTAACGTTATTCCGCTCTGATAGCGGTACCTTGCTTTCTGTTAAGCGTTGTGCTTTGTACTCTTGAAACCGTTAAGGTTTGTTGTATATATAATTATTGATTTGTTTATTAATAGTACCGTAGAAACAGTGACCGGCTTCTTGTTTGTTCTGGACCGGGATAGCCTTTATCTACGCGTGACTTAATTTCAAGCAATATTGCGCTTACACTATTATTATTATTATTATTGTATCCTTTAGTTCCTTGAGGAACATAGGGCTTCAGCTGCGCACCTCCATTGCCTTCGGTTTTCTGCCAACTTTTTCACCCTGCTCCAGGTCTGTCCACATGCCTTCATCGCCTCGTCGCATGACGTCCTCCAAGTCACCCTTGGACGACCAACTCGCCGCCTCCCTTTCGGGTTCCATTCGAGGGCTTGTCTAGTGATGTCACTTGATGGTTTCCTCAGCGTATAGCCAATCCATCTCCATTTCTTCCTGCCTATTTGTTTCACAATCGGTTCCTGATTGGTTCGCTCCCAGAGATCCCTGTTGCTGATCTTTTCTGGCCATCTGATCTTGAGTATTGAGCGAAGTCAGCTGTTAATGAAGGTCTGAAGTTTGTTTGAGATGCTCTTTATGACTCGCCAAGTCTCTGATCCGTATAGTAGCACTGACTTTACATTGGAGTTGAAAATCCGGATGTTATTTTTGATGCTGAGTGCTGTTGACCTCCACACAGATTTGAGAGTAATGAAAGCTTGTCTTGCTTTACCGATTCTGGCTTTGATATCCTCGTCAGTTCCACCTGTAGTTGAGACGATGCTTCCCAGGTAGGTGAAGGAGGCTGTTTCTTTCAGGTTCTTCCCACTTATGCTGATTGTTGTCTGTTGTTGTTGCTGTTGATGTTGGCTAGGAATCTTCATCACCTCTGTTTTATCTATGGTTCACCTGAAGGAAGTCCTATCTTTGATGCTTCTTCTTCCAACTTGTTACTTTTCACTTGCATATCTTCCAGTTTGTGGGAAATCAGACATATATCATCGGCGAAATCCAGATCCTCCAAGTCTTTTGTGTCAGTCCATTTTATGCCTGTTCTCTCGTTGGTTGCCGTTGTCTGTCGCATTATCCAATCGATTGCAATCAGGAAGATCGTTGGTGATAGCAGACAGCCTTGCCTCACTCCCGTCCTCACTTCGAAGGCTTCCGTAAGTTACCCGTTGTGGATTACTTGGCATGCAGCATTGTCGTATAGCTGTTGGATGAGATGTATAATTGTCGATGGGACCCCGTAGTAGCGAAGTAGTTGCCAAATGACCTCTCGATCGACGCTGTCGAAGGCCTTTTCAAAGTCGATGAAGTTGAGATAGAGAGGTGACTGGCATTCCAAGCTTTGTTCAATGATGATCCGCAGAGTGGCGATTTGATCAATACATGATTTGTTTCTCCTGAATCCGGCCTGTTCCGGACGAAGTTTTTCATCTAGGGCTTGTTTGATTCTCTCCAGGATGATGCGACTTAGTATCTTGCTTGGAATGGACAGAAGCATAATTCCACGCCAGTTTTTACATTGACTTAAGTCTCCTTTCTTTGGTAGTTTGAATAAGTATCCGTTCTTCCAATCCTCGGGTACTTTGCCCTCTAAACTACTAGAGTTTATTTATTCATTGTTCATTAGTGGTTTTCACTGGTTGTATAATTGATGTTGACTCATGAAGAGAACTATTCAGAATAATTGATCTGACAAATCCCTCCATGAACAATTAATGCATTTATAGCATTGGTAATTACCTGAATATTTCAGTTAATTTTGTAACTGTTATCGTTTTCGCTTGACATATTTAATCTACATTGCACTTGAATATCTCATTTGGACTTAATCCACATTATTTGTTTTTGCTTATGGTTGATTCATACTTTTATTAAGTTACTTTGTTGCTGTGTATTCATGGTGTGTTGATGACTGAAAATTGCACGGAAGTACAGTACAGTAGTTCGAGTTGTCATACTCCATTTAACACACAAAGGAAGAGAAAAAGTTCGGAGGAGCAGAAGTGTGAGGGTGAAAGAACGTTAACATGGAAAAACAACTGTCTGTTTGTCTTCGACATATAACTTTGCACTGATGTGCAGCAGTCCAAGTCGCCACACTTCCCCATACAGCACACAAGGCAAGAGAAGAAAGTAGAAGAAATGCATAACAGGGACAGTAAACAGAGGTGTGAGACAAAGGGAATAGTAATAACGAAGAACAAAACAGTTTGATTGGAAATCATAAGTCACAAGGAGTGGATACATCTGCGCCAGTCATTGAGAACGATTTTGAGCCATATCACCAATTGTTTCTAACCATTAGTTTTTACCGTCCCGAGGACCCCAACCACGAAGTCTACACCTTCCTACGTGGCTTAGACTAACTGTTGTAGATTTCATTGACTAATGAGGCCATGTTTTGGTTTGACTGCCGCTAGCTCTTTTCCAGTCTGACCCTATGTCAGCTAACACTGCTTGTCGAGGAAGGCGATGACTGAGATGGGAAAACAGCAGTTATACTAAATATAATAAATCACAAAGAGTGAATACATCTGCGCCATCATCCAGAGCGATTTTCAGCCATAATACCAATTGTCCCCAGCCTTTATTGGTTTTTATCGTCCTGAGGACCCCGGCCAGGAGGCCGGTCTACACGTCCATATGTGGTTAGTTGGCTTTAACTCACTGTTGGGGACTTCACTGACTGATGAAACCATGTTTTGGTTTGACCACCACTAGCTCTTTTCCAACCTGATCCATACTATGTCAGCAATCGATATCCGTTGAGGAAGGCGATAGCTAGGCTAGGCATGCGTGACACATGTACTAACCATCTTAACCGATGTAACTTCACAACCTCATTGATTATTTTCCCCTCCTTACCTAGCACCCGACCGGTGCATAACCTCAATATTACTCACCTTAATATACCACTTCACATGGGAGATGGAACCCAGACACTTATGATCAAAGACAGCTGGCTAGCTTTTTCATGTTTTCCACTTTCAATTTCCATGTCTCACAGCCATGGAGGAGGACGCAGAGAACTTCTGAGCAGTACACAGTTCTTTGGTCGATAACCAACCGGATATTACGTCTGCATCAGAGATGGCGTAAGTTGGCATATGCGAAAGGAGACTTCTGTATCCGTGGTGAGATTTCGTTGGCTATTACCATTATGGGGCTATTGCAACTCTCCAAATAAGTGAAGTGGTTGCCACGCTCAGCCACCAATTCACTCCCTACGTGTATTTTCAGTTGTTCACTTCTGTAGCATCCATCAACTTACATTCTATTGGGGCAAATCGCGCCCGAAACATTCGAATATTGCTGCTCAAGGTGTTCAGGAGACTCTTCATTTTGTCAGCGTCTTCACCTCTAAGGACTATATCACCTATATATTCTAAGTTAACGAAATTATTCCGTGGTATGAAGTTGATCCCCAAGTCTCTGAAGCCCGTTGATAATAATATGTTGTTACGCGATTGAGGTTTTGCTTGCATGAATTCAATGGTTATGGCATCGAGTGGCTGCCAGACCTTGGACTATCTGTGGGAGACCTGTTTTCTGCGGTCTGATTCTTAAAGACAGAATTTTAATGGTTGAAATAAGAACTTGAATTGCAGCAATTTTCGAATTCCAGGCTTCATTTCCCCACTACATGACTATTAGTCTATCATTCTATGGTTACCAAAGCTAGTTTCGTCACTATTTAATCAGATTGTGTTTAATTTTCATTGTTTCTATAAGGTGCCAATATTTCGTCCATTTCCCATTGAATTACTTTTTAATTAATTCATTTTTTCTCTCTATTTTCAGTTAGTTATATACAATTTGTCATCGTCAGAATCCAATCAAGTTGTTAATTTTGATCATGCTCTTAAAGCGGTTGCTCTTGCTCCTGATTTTGAAAAATCCCGTAATGTTGTCGTTGGTTTCAAAAAGGTATGCTGTCGACATGTAATTATTCATATAATCAGTCTGGTTTTATTATTTTTTATAACTTTGATTAATAGTATGAAATTTATTATAATTATTTTTTAATGCCAACTCCTTTACTATACTTGTGACGGAAACAAAGGCTGAAATGTCCAGGAGAGGTAGCATATGTAGACCTTGTACTTAAGATAGGACGAAAAAAGGATCGTTTTTTGTATGCCGGTTGACATTATAGCTCTGAATTATTGACTACTGAGATCAATCATTATAACTGATATACTCGTGTATCCTCATAAACGACTCGGCACGGTCGAGGGTGGATAGACTTCGATCTTCCTTTTTAAAGACTCTGAAATGATGGTCACGAGTTCATAACCTCTCTCAGGTAAGCCTTATTCACAGCCTTCATGTGGCGAGTGTTTCTCACAAAAGCGAAAGGGTGAATGCAAAAGTCTGGAGCTTATAACCAGATTGGTGGACATACATATCTACCTAGAGGATCTGGGAAACCCTCATTCTACACCTATAACGTACATGTATTCCAGAATCCGAAAGATATGAACGGTGTATGAACCATGGGAGCGTAGATCTTCATGCAGACCCACTGCTGTGTGGATCAGACTTCCAGTCAAAGACTTGGAGAAATGGCCTCTAAAGACAGCCACCTACAACGGTGTGGATTTAAGAGATTTTGTATGACCCAACTCTTGGTGCCTGTAATAGTACCATTTGAATCGACACATTAAATCGTAATCTTTTGTTAGTGACTTTGTATATAACCTGTTGTACTGTGAAATTTGTTTTACAGTTGTATAATGGAGATTGCGATTAGTAATTTTTGATTTTGTACAAGTTAACTTTGATTGAGAAAGTAGGATGAAACTGTCATCTTTTCTTAGGTTTTAAGACTATTATGTGATTTTGTTGTAGTTTATTGCTTACCATTTCATTTGAACAACAATCTTTAATTTCCAAATGTTGGTTTGCAGAAATTTGATTGATTTCAACCTTGATCATTTACTAACATCAATTAGAAAACCAGTGAAAAACAGTGACGAGTGCTGGGCAGCTATTTCGTCTCTGTTTGGAACTCTTCGATAGTACGGTAGGTAGTATCATGGATGCGTACTACTGAAGAGTCCTAAACCGGGATGAAACAGATGTCATGTATTCCTTGGCTCTCCAACACTTCTCCCTAACTGATATCAGTTTGTGATCCAACTTCAAACTGTTAGTTATCCATTCCTTTTTGGTCACATTAGCTACTTGAAGAAATAACTAGATAAAATCATCAAATTTTTTACATATCACTCTATTAAAAGAGATTGACGAAAGTACTTAGAAGCTACTAAGAAATGCTTTTGCAACCTTAATACGTTTTTCATTTAAACAATGCTGTTCCTATACAATGAAGAAAGTAAAGCATAATAAAAAACGTTATTACAACAATTAAAAACAAAATATCAACCTACGCCTGAATGAAGATTTGGAAAGAATACTAAGCGAGGTGAATTGAATTTGGTTGGATAATTTTAGTATATAAAATCAGTTGAAATAATAGCCTCTTTGCTAGACCTCCTGATGAAGATTTTCTATGAATCATTAGAATACACTAAGGGTTTCATCATGAGCTGACATCAGTTAGAAGACTATCGGGAAACCTGGGAGTACTGGACAGTCAGTTGTTTCTTCCTAGTTTGGGACTCTTCAGCAGTACGCTTTGGTCAGCTCATGATGAAATCCTTCATGCAGTCAAACAAAATCCAGGTGGGCGCGTACTGCTGAAGAGACCCAAACTAGGACAGAACAGCTGTCCAGTACTCCCAGGTTTTCCAGTGGTTCTCTAACTGATGTCAGCTCATGATGAAATCCTGCATGCAATCAAACAAAATCCCTACAAAACCAATATTAGAAAAAAAATCATTAGAATAAATAAAAACTCAAAAGGTTTGTAAGAGAAAAGAACTATCCTTCGTTACAAATTGAAGAAATCTGTGTGTATGCAAGTGAAATAAATACACTCATCATCATACTGAAATAAAAAATACACTGAGGAGGCCGTCGCATGTCAGACCCGCGAATGCAACGTGTATGGGAAAAAATGAGTTGTGCATGAGGCAGAAAGTGATATGGAGTAGATCATGTGAAGAGAAAATAAAGGCTTGTGGGTAATTGTAGTCATCTAAAAAAGACAACAGAGAATAGAGTGAAGTGGAGATGTCCTGTCTAAGCCTTATATTCCACTCCAAAACTAAGAAACGAATAAATAATATAACATATAGTAATGAGAAATATGTTGAAATAATCTAAACATCAGATGGTCGTTTCACTCATTTGAGCTATCCAACTACTCACTTCAATCTTGCTACCAAGTTCTACTTTTTAGTATCACTGCTATACAACTACTCATTTTAGTCAGTCAGTAGTCTGTACGTTTATACAAATATGCTTACTGTCTTCATTACCACTCATAGTATCAAGCAAATCACATATTGTGGTGATTTGAATAATTCTGGTTTCTAAAGGAAACTTTGACGAGACAAAATCTTCTTTCAACTGTGTAAATTACAAACTAATTTGTAAATCTTCGACCATTGGTTTTGTAGGAATTTTGTTTGATTGGTTGGAGGATTTCATCATTCATTTCATCACCATTAAAGCATTGGCTTAATGATCTATGAGGTCGCCTTGTAACCAAAAAGGTCCTGGGTCCGAACCCCAGTAGGTGCATACTGATGAGGAGTCCCAAACTAGGACCAAACAGCTGGCTGTCCAGTACTCCCTGCAGATTTTCCAATGGTTCTCTGACTTTAAAACAAACAATAAAGGTTAATAAAGCAGGATTTAATGAATTCATCAAATTTCGGTAGAACTCGTCAGCTGGGAAAGACCAGTCGACAATCCTCGACACTTCAAACTGCATATATCAATTTGAGTGTGTTTGTGGCAGCAAATACATAGGTCGTAGGGAAAGGCGATTGTCTACTCGCATGATGGAGCATTTGCCAAAATGGTTGAAAACAGCTGAGTGCAAAGTGTCAAAATCCTCAATAACAAAACATCTTGTAGATTACGGGCATGATATCGACGCGGTCAAGTCATTCACCGTTGTCAGCAAACAAAGAAACAAGAAGATGCTTGCAATTGCAGAGGCTTGTGCAATTTTAATTTATAAACCAGCTCTCTGTATACAAAAGGAGATGGTCGTGGCACTGAATCTACCATGGTAATACGTTTTACTTATCATTCTACTTCATTATTATTATTGATTAATTTAAAACTATCCTTTATCAGTGGCATTATCCTAACTCACTTCAACACTATTATTATTGTTATTATAACTATTACTATTGATATTAGTCTGTTTGCAATTCTTGTTATATTCTCTAGTGACTAATTGTTTACCTATGTGATGTCATTGAAGCGTAATGCAATTTATCCTAATTTTGATCTCTCACACTCTCTCTGTACTTATCTATTTGAACATGACCTGTAAAACATTCGCACGTGTCTTTCTGTATGATTAATTCAATGTAGTTTGTCTACTTATCAGTCTTATATCTTCCAATGTTATTTCAAAAGTATATGTATCCGTGTATGTAGAGTATTCAGCTGACGAGTTCTACCGAAATTTGATGAATCCATCATTAAATCCTACTTTATTAACTTTTATTGGTTGTTTTAAATTCGTATCGGGAAATAAATGTTTTCAATTCGATTCTCTGACTGATGTCAGCCCATGATGAAATCCTCCAACTAATTTTTAAAATGCAAATTTAATTGAATAGTCACTTTTATTTCAAGCAGTGACCTCATACAGAATGGAATTTTCATGTTGCAATAAATTTATTCTCTTTCATGAATAACATAAAGTAAAGTAACCACAAAGTCTGTAGCTCATTCCAACTAGTACAGTAACAATCATTTCATTCGCTTCTTCTCATCCCATTATGATATGCAATCGGCAGGAAGCCTTTTGAACCATCTAGATTTTATATCTATCAGCTCTCGTCAGCAAGGTGTATATGCAATCTTGCAGGACTCATGTTCCTACGAACCCGCGGTTACCTAATATTGCAGTCAAGAGATCTTACCACTAAGCTATTCAGGCTAGTGATTGACCCTCTGTAGGACTGTAATGGACATTTTGACTGAAGACTAGGTACTAATTGGTGTCAGGCATCCAGTCTTTCGTTTAGTGAAGACTTAGTTCCACCAGTCAAGCGTGTAATGTCGTCATCATGCCAGGTGGCTCAGAAAGGACATTAATTCCACTAAGATTGCATGTACACCTTTCTGACGAGTGTCAACAAGCTCGAAACCTTGGTGTTTAAGGCTTTCAGTCAAATGCGTTCAACCATCTAATAACTATTCAGGATACTCATTCAGACATCCATAAAACACAAAATAATTGAGCAAAGAATATCCTTTTCGATAAATTCCTCTTCTGGCTCTACAACTATATATATATATATATATATATATATATATATATATATATATATATAATATTCTAGATTAGCAGTCAGTAACAATATTTGTGTTCCTAGATAATATCGATTTGTGAAGTAAGATCAATGGAATTACAGTTCATTAAAGATGCTTAAATTATAATAATAGTAAAGATAATCATGAATAATGAAGATATATTGGCAAATAGATTTCAACTAAAATCAAGGGAATTTCCGCAAAAGTTGAGGATCATTCAAATCTAGATGGCTTAGGTAAGGATAATGTCTGAACTAGCTTCTTTTGGACCCACAAATTAGGCTTCTTAATATGGATCCCAACAGCCAGTCTCAGCAATATTTAGTAATCGAACTCTTAAGGCGAAGTTAAGATATTTTGGTATGCGATAAATGACTTTGAAAGCCGCCTCGTTAACATCAATCTTGTCTTCTGTATCCACAAGACGAGATACAATAGCGCTACGAATAGATTCTGTTTGTCCTTTACTTAACCATTGTGTAGGGTGATGTTCGGAAATCCGACGAGAAACACACCTAATTGCAACCAACTGGTTCCACAGGAGCAGTTAAATTGGTAGATGCACATAGAATGAAGAGGTGAAATTAGGCAGTTTATCTTTTACTCCCGAATGCAAAAGAGGAGTGCTTTTGAAGACACAGCGTAATTCAGCAGCAGCAGGGAATGCTCTTTTTTACCACATTTCTAAGGCGTTGTGTTAATATCTCTCGCTGATGTATTGTCCCTGAAGGACTGAATTTGTAAGAATAAGGCCGTCTAGTATTGGTGGCCACTTTGCAAACTTAGCTGGTAAAATTCAGTTTTGCACCCTACAAGGACCAACACTCATGGCATTAGTTAATACGTAGTGTCCAATCAAAGTTTTGTGCTATTTTTCTCACAAATTTATGGAGAAACATACAAATGAAAATAATACGCTTTAAGGATATCTTTGCTTCTTTTTTCCTTCGTGTTCCCAGTGGAACATAGGGCTTCATGCTAGCGGCTTGAAGTTTCTATGGAGTGTTTATTTTTACAGGATGGGGTTGCTAGCCTCATACCCAACCTCTCCTCTTCACCAGGATTATTTCTGGCTTAGCGAGGTAAAGGAGTGCCTCGTCGGTGGCCGGGGATCGAACCCCGGACCACCTGTGTGGTTGGCGAGCATTCTATCACTGTGCCACCGACGCATGCTTGATTAATATAAAAACCAAAAGAATAATTTGGAAAATTTAGTAATCTGAAGTTGAAGCAGGCTGCCATGTGTTAGCACCCACAGTCAATTTCTCATTTGTGATCCCACTCTGATGTATGTATAGTTCTCCAAATTATATATGTCAAAATTATGGTAATAAGTTAGTAATTTGTTACCAGATAATTAGTTACAAATATCAACATGTATGTTAGAAGTGAAAGTTAATTGTGAAATACAAGATAATAATTAAAGGATAAAATTATCTGCTATAATTATACATTTAGGTTTTAGGTGTTAACATAACTAGTAAAATATATCCTCAAGCCACTTAAATATATGTTGGAATAAATTTATGTCAGAATTCTAGTTCACTTATAATGTTTTTGAATAGCTTATCAGCACTTATAAAAATATAAATGAGTAAATAGATTTATTAAAATGATAATGTTCAGTAATTATCAAATTTTAGCTTTCAGGGTTTTGATTGATTACAAGTCTGATCATAAAATTGACTGCAGTTAGAGATCTAGTAAAAACCAGGGAGTATTGGACAGCTTGACATTGACACTAATGGTCGCGTTCTGCTGTCTCACAAATTGTCAGAAGTTACAATCGATAGGCCATTGGATTCCGTCCTATTAGCTGGAATGGTCAACGAGGTCAACTTGTAGCCTGAAGGTTCTACTGTGGATCCTTGATGGTGTTGTACGTACGTACGGATGGGGAGTCTCAAACTAGGACGAAACATCCGTTCAGTACTCTCTGGTTTTCAAAAGTTCTCTAACTGATATCAGTTTGAAATTAAATTTGTAATCAGTAATTACTTCAAGTCAACCAGGTATGGTGAAGTTAGGTGAACTACCTAAAACCGTATTAATAGTGCTGATAGTAATAATATCTCGTAGGGTTGGTAGAAGAAGTGATCATTTCAACGCAGTCTGTACACGCTCAAATATTTTTATTATTCATTTTGGTACTCAGTGAAACATAGGGGTTAAACAATACATCTCCTTTTCGTCTTGTTCTCTGAAGTCTTCTTCATCTGGCCTCACAATTATCCACAAAGTTTCATTTCCTTCTCACACAGTCTCATCCTTGTCACCCACCCTTAACTTGTCGTTTTCCATTCACGTTCCACTAGAGCGATGGCCTGGTGCTCAGTGTCTCCCAATGATGTGGCCAGCGGAGACAGCTGTTGTCGGCGGCACAGACGTTACGACTGTCGCCGACCATGCACATGGTCCGAGGTTCGATCCCCTGCGTGTGATATCACTTGATGGTTTGTGGTTGGTTCGTTCTGAGAGGTCCCTGTTGCTGATCTCTGAGTATTGATGCCTCGGTGAGGCCGCTCTCCAACCACGCTCAGGGGTTCAATCCCCGGCCGACGCACGCCTTGATATGAATGGTTGGCGTGCTAAATTTGGACTACCTTTATCACATGCTGAAAATTTCATAGTTATACCAAAAATACTGTATGAAATCAAGCTATACTAAAAGTAAAACGAATAAAAAGTAAACACAGCTATTGGTAAGGTCTGTAGTTTGTTCGAAGTGCCCTTCGTGACCCGTCAAGTATCTAATCCGTATAGTAACACTGACTTTACATTGGAGTTGAAAATCCGGGTTTCATTTTTCATACTGAGTGCTGTTCATATCCACACACAGACTTGAGAGCAATGAAAGCTTGCCTTGCTTTCCCGATCCTCGCTTTGATATCCTTATCAATTCCGTCAGCCTGTAGTTGAAATGACGCTTCCCAGGCAGGTAAAGGAGGTTGCTTCTCTCAAATTCCTTCCATGTATGCTGACTGTTGTCTGTCGTTGTTGCTGGATGATATTAGCTCATGATGATACCAACCTTATATTAGATCATGTACTACAGTTCTATGTATACATAAAAACTAAGCATCCAGCATTTTTAGCGAAAATGCCAGAATTCTGTCAATTCTACTCTCTCTTCAGCTTTTTCTTTGCTTCATTCGTGTATATGTCAGACAGAAAATGATTTCTTTCAAATGAATTAACTCTGTGCTAATTTATACATTTTTGATGTGCTTATTAAATTTGCCTATTTCACTTGGCACATTTTTTAAAACCTACTTTTTCAGATATATCTCCTTTCAAAAGGTGTCTTCACTAAATCGAAGCATGAAGAACTTGCCAACGTTGATGGTTGTGTAAGAACTATCAAATGGCGCTGTGAATTTATCCTATGGGCTGATGATAAGGTAGGTGTTTTTGTGTGAATATAAACTGCTCTTGATGATGTGTAATCCTCTAAATGATTGATTGATTTTCAACATACAGAAGGGCAGCAGTTCAAGTTATCATACTGTATGCACCACGCAAAGGTACACGACAGGGAAGAACTATAATGAGCGGAAATGTGAGGGTAAGAGAAAAGTAATATGGAAGAACATGAGGATTTGGTGGATCTGGGAGAATACAAATAGTGAATGCAGTTGCGCCAGTGAGAACAGTTTTGAGCCATATTTCCAATTATTTACAGTTATTGTTTCGTAGAATCTTGAGGACCCGAATCGGGTATTCTACACTTCCGTACATGGCTGGCTCAAACCAACTGTCAAAGACTCCCTGGATTAGCGTCGAGTTTTGTCTTCGCCACTAACAACTCTTTTCCAACCTAATCTGATGTCAGCAAACATTGCTCGACGAGGAAGGCGGTTACTGAGTATATGCAATACTTGCGATAGACATAATGTTCAGTAGGCTGCTTTTATCCTACTTTACATTTGTTAGGGATAAAATATGGAAGCTGAAGTGATAAAGAGGTTGACGTTATTTTTTTGATGATTGGTGCTTTCATTTACTCTCTCGTTTTATATGGTGCATTCTAGTCAGTAACAATTAGTTTAGGCGTAGAGCCTGAGGAGGTAAAAGTGAATCGACCCATAAAGCTTTATCGACTTAGGTGGAGACAATATATGTTAGATATTTTGATGTATAGTGTTAGCTGGAGTAGAATTAGGTTAAAGAGAAGTCAGGGGTAGTCAAATTGAAATCTGATATTAATCCTTAGACTCACTGATTAATGTTTTGTAATCGTTCACAAGAGCGCAAATGTATTCACTACTCGTTATTGTATAGATCGTGAAAGCTTCGCTAGTCTTTACTTAACTATTCTCTGCATCCCAATCATGTTTGTTTATTGGAGTATAACTCTGCTTCTACACCTTTATTCACATATCTCTTGGACCTGTAATAATAATAATAATAAAGTAATATCAAGTAGACAATGATTTGCACTGTTGAGATTTGTACACTTTATTGAAACATTTGGTAAGTACTTCACTGCAAAGAATTCGTAAGTTTTCTTCACTATGTGTTCAGAGTACTTCTAGAAGACCAAATATCATATGATACAATTTAGTAGATGGTGACTAGCAGTGGAGTCCAAAATGTGCGTTTCGTCCTACCTGGTGTAACAACAGAAGACAAGGGCCAGGCAACAGATCGTTTTATTATGAAAATCAACACGTATTTATACATCTTTCAACTACATTATTATAGACAAGCGCAGTCATCTGATTGGTTGTTTCGGGATTCCTTGACAAATAGAGTTCTCTCTGCGAATCATATTCTGCCACGTTAACTTTGCTGTGATTGGTTGTTGACTCAGGCTTGTTCATATTTTCTCACGGCCCATATTAGTGACCTAGACCTTAACGTAGATTAGTGCCAACCAATCGGCTAGCAGCCTGCTCTCACCACACTCGTCCCCCCGTCAAATACGTGCGACTGAAGTCGGCTTGATCTACTTGGTGCAGGCGTCATCGTTGGCTTGTCTCGCTGTATCCATTTCTGGAGCTCGCTGACGTTCACGCGCCTCTTATTGTTCGCCATTGCGACTGTGTCTGCATAACCCCATCTCGAAGTGACCATATATGGTCCTTCCCACTTTGGAAACTGTTTGCCTGACCCTGTCGAACATTCGTCCATACTTCGGCTCACACTTTCATATGCTGCTTTCACCCGACCTCCCAGCAGCGTCCCAAGTAGCAGCTCCATCGCTGACAGATCTTGAACGCCACTCAACTGCGCAGGAGCCTTGAAGTCCTGCCCGAAGATCCATATGTCTCCATCGAAAACGGCAGGGCATAGGCTTTCCATTTGTCGGTAGGCAGCGACACCAAATGTAACAACAGAAGACAAGGGCCAGGCAACAGATCGTTGTATTATGAAAATCAACACGTATTTATACATCTTTCAACTACATTATTATAGACAAGCGCAGTCATCTGATTGGTTGTTTCGGGATTCCTTGACAAATAGAGTTCTCTCTGCGAATCATATTCTGCCACGTTAACTTTGCTGTGATTGGTTGTTGACTCAGGCTTGTTCATATTTTCTCACGGCCCATATTAGTGACCTAGACCTTAACGTAGATTAGTGCCAACCAATCGGCTAGCAGCCTGCTCTCACCACACTCGTCCCCCCGTCAAATACGTGCGACTGAAGTCGGCTTGATCTACTTGGTGCAGGCGTCATCGTTGGCTTGTCTCGCTGTATCCATTTCTGGAGCTCGCTGACGTTCACGCGCCTCTTATTGTTCGCCATTGCGACTGTGTCTGCATAACCCCATCTCGAAGTGACCATATATGGTCCTTCCCACTTTGGAAACTGTTTGCCTGACCCTGTCGAACATTCGTCCATACTTCGGCTCACACTTTCATATGCTGCTTTCACCCGACCTCCCAGCAGCGTCCCAAGTAGCAGCTCCATCGCTGACAGATCTTGAACGCCACTCAACTGCGCAGGAGCCTTGAAGTCCTGCCCGAAGATCCATATGTCTCCATCGAAAACGGCAGGGCATAGGCTTTCCATTTGTCGGTAGGCAGCGACACCAAATGTAACAACAGAAGACAAGGGCCAGGCAACAGATCGTTGTATTATGAAAATCAACACGTATTTATACATCTTTCAACTACATTATTATAGACAAGCGCAGTCATCTGATTGGTTGTTTCGGGATTCCTTGACAAATAGAGTTCTCTCTGCGAATCATATTCTGCCACGTTAACTTTGCTGTGATTGGTTGTTGACTCAGGCTTGTTCATATTTTCTCACGGCCCATATTAGTGACCTAGACCTTAACGTAGATTAGTGCCAACCAATCGGCTAGCAGCCTGCTCTCACCACACTGGGACTTGTCACTGAGTGTGCTTGCATTCCAAATGATTAAGTGATGGAGTCCTGAATTAAACTCGAACCCGGTGCCCATCGTTATCCACTAAATCACTTGGGTCATAGTCACCAAAAACCTTCAAGTTATTCCTCAGATATTGTTGAAATGTCGTCACTAGGATCTAAAATATCAACAGATACCGAACATTTTGGTCAAATCAATTGATGAGAGAAGTCAAAATTAACTACTTAGACAAGTTTGAACAAGGCATTAAGAAGACAAATTTCGCGAGATGATATCATTTCGTAGTTTCTTTACAACCGCTTTACAACTAACATGGTTAACAATGATAAAATAAAGTTCATGAAAATTACTCAGTTAAATAAAAACAAAAGTACATACTAATGACCAATCATATTAAGATAATTTTACCCATTCCCGTCACTTACATCAAAGACATAATCTTAATGTGTACAGAAAATATTAGATTCACATTCCAAGAAAAGGCATATAAACAAATCGATGGTGTTGCGATGGGGAGCCCTCTGGGGCCCCTGTTAGCAGATATATTTATGTCGAAATTAGAGAAACAAATGCAAGGTATGCTTGGAGGATTTATGCTGTATAAACGTTATGTAGATGATACTCTTATTATTGGTAATAATAGTGAATCTATTGAAAACTTCATTACTCTATTTAATCATATTCATCCAAATATTCGAGTGACTTCCGAACTAGAATCGAATAACAAACTTGGTTTCCTGGATATTACTATGACTAGGAGAAATGATGGAACGATTCAGCGCTCTATTTTTCGTAAACAAACATGGACTGGACAATATCTTCATTTTACCAGTTTTGTTCCTATCCAGTATAAACGTTCCCTAGTGAAATGTTTGTTCTCAAGGGCCCGAAAAATATGCACGAGTGACACACTGATGGATGAGCTTCGACATGTACATTCAGTTTTATTAGCTAATGGTTATCCGGAGAGCTTTATCACTTGTCACAGCAAAGAAAAACCACATCTCGAAAAGACAGCTTCTGTACCAAAGAAAGCCATCTTTATTAATCTACCATTCAAGGGCGACCAGATTATGCAGTTGACAACTCAAAGACTTCGATCAGCCATCAAACGCACATTCTACGCCGCATCTCTTTTTCTCACTTGCCGAACATTTTCGATCCCTGTTCCTACGATTAAAGGACGAAATTCTGTGGACTCTACTTCAAACTGTATCTACAAGTTCACCTGCAGCTGCGGTGACACCTATATAGGTAGAACTAACAGAATGTTCCAATGTCGTCGAAAAGAACATATTCCAAAATGGCTAGTAAACCATATCGAAAATCCCAACGCGATTAATCTTAATAGAAATCCAGCATCATCCATTGCAAAACACTTATTAATGTCTGGTCACAAAATAAATATTAATGACTGTTTCACAATTATTTCACATAACTCTAATTCAAGGTTATTGAAGGTGATGGAAGCACTTTGGATTAATCACATACAGCCTAAACTGTGTGTACAAAAATCAATAGACTTCAGACTTCGCCTACCCTGGACTGCATGACCTATCTTAATATGATTGGTCATTAGTATGTACTTTTGTTTTTATTTAACTGAGTAATTTTCATGAACTTTATTTTATCATTGTTAACCATGTTAGTTGTAAAGCGGTTGTAAAGAAACTACGAAATGATATCATCTCGCGAAATTTGTCTTCTTAATGCCTTATTCAAATTTATCAAAGGGAATAATTGTTTTACTTAGACAAGTAACAAATTTCATAAGCTTCAGCCTGCTTGAAGGAATTAAGATCGCATTTATATGATACTTTCTAGACAAGTCTTTACTTCAATGAAATAGTTATATCCTCAGTGGTGTTATGATTAGTTCGCTTGATTTTGCTCTTAGTCATAAGTGTTAGCATTCCTTTTAAAAGAATCTAGATCATGTGATTAGTTGTTCAGGAAAAGGTGGTCGTGGCTTTTAGTGGAATATTCCCTTTTGAATATCGTGTCTACATTTTCCTTATCTATTGATGGTTCATTAGTGCAGTATGCGCCAACCACGCTTCATGTGGCATGGATTCGATTCCAAGTCAAAGGATTCTTTAACGTCGCTTATTCGGTTGTAAGCCCAGTCAAGTGGGAAGATTCAGCGCATAGATGTAGCGAACTCATCGGTGCTGAAACTTTATAACTTGAAACTATTTCTTCCTCTCGAGTATCGCAAAGGAATGAAATCAAGAGAAGTAAATATTTCCATGATTATTCAACTGTTTGTATGATGTACTTGCTTCTTGGTTTCTTTGGAGATGGTTAAGTTGTCCACTTTCGTCGATTATTAGATATTATTTTGTTTTCTTTCTTTTAATTTTAGTGTATATGTGTTTATGATGCTCGGGATCATCGTCCAATTACTTTCATCCAGTATGCTAATCAAAATGTTGAGTGAGTTATAGTTTCTCATTCTATCTTAACTTGTTGTGAACTTAATTTTTCTTATGGCTAACCTAAGTCGTTCAAGATTATAAAAGTTTTTGTATTTCCCAATGAATGAAAAACAAAACGATATTGTTGCTTTTACTGACGTTTCGCTACTTAATGCTGCTAACAGCTTTATCAAAGTATTATTAAATCAGAATTTACAAAATCTCAGCTTACGTAATGAAATTACTTATCACATCCGTGTTGTTTTCGCCACCATGTTCTAACCAGGTTCAATTCTGTTTTAGTCCATCATTCCTATTCAGATCAGACAATTTTGGATTCCATTTGATATAAAGTGCTTCTGATGATATAAAACGTTCTTTGTGATTTCTGAAATGCTTTTTATGGATTATGATTTCAATATTATCAAAATCAATTTTGTGACCTGATTCTATAGCGTGTAGACCTTTGGTTGATGATTTTTCAAGTTTTTGTAGTGCAACTGGATTTGTTGCTGGTCGAACGGATGCTCTACGGTCTTCATTTATTCTGATCTTGATTCTTCTCTATTGAGGTTTGTCCGATGTATATCGCATCACATTCCAAGCATTTTATTTTATAGACACAATTAGAGAATCTTTTGGGGATTTGATCTTTTATATAAACAAGGTTACTTCGCAGTGTGTCTGATGTTTTGAAGAAATATCTGATGTTGTGCTTACTGAGTACTTTTCTGATATCGTCTGACGTTTCTAATCTATGCAGAATAGCAGATGTTGGGGAATACATTTTCGACCCTGTTTAATGTCGGTACTGATTTTGTTGATGAAGGCCTTCAGTTAGTTATTTTTCTTGAGAGTCTCAGTAATGTTTGATGTTTATTATTCCTGTTCATCCGTTATCAGGTAGCGAAATGTCAAAGAAAACAATATCATTTTGTTTTTCATTCATTGGAAAATACAAAAACTTTTATAATAATGAATATCATATACCCAATGCCCAAATCTGTTCAAACTGTTAAAAGTGAAGTTGGTCCGGGCATATATGAACGGAGTCGTTATGGAAAGTATTAAGTTAGACATTATTAACATTCCTGATTCAAACAGACCCCAAAGTAAGTATTAAAGAACTATTTCCCAGTATTATTATCGTGTACCTAATAAATTTTGAGTCCAGGGAATACTAGACGTATGTTTCATCCTCGTTCGGGACTCTTCAGAATAATACGCCTACGACCCCATCTCTAGGGATCGAGCCCAATAGCTTCAGATAACAGGGCTAATGTGCTGACCGTTCAATCACTAGGATGGAGTTCAATGGCACATGAATTCTAACTTCTTCCAATTCACGAAATACTTGACGCGACCACTAGCCAATTTTATTGGCGTGTATTTGTACTCGTACCTAAATTAGTGGACACTATCAGTCATGACTTCTCATTAGGACTTCAGGCAACTGCATCCTGTAGTCAGTCACTCGTGTGCATCAGATTGATTCTCCATCAAACCTTAACCTGTTCAGTAGCTTTCTTTGGTTTCAAGGTCTTGTTTATGAAGCTCAGGAGGGAACCATTTCCCATCAAGATTCTTTGGATATAATTTTAGTCCTTCGTTAACAGATTCTTTGGCACATGTTTCCGGATCCTTGAGGATAAAGAATAGGTAAGATTCCTTTTTCTACTTAGAGCGATAGGACTTTGAGTATTGATGAACTGGTCATTCTGTGTGAGGCTTTTTCTAGATCGATCTCCTTGATGATCAGTTATTAACATTTATTCGCAGTTGAACATCGAGTCATGATTAATGCAACAGTTTGCTTTCGACTTTGTTTTACCTTATTTAGCATATTAGTGCTCTATTCTAGTGATTTTTTAGGGTTCTTTAAGTTATCTTATAGATGTGTATAAGATGATAATTCTAAATGCGTGTTTTCTTATTGATTCATTTTATTTTTATTAGACCATCATCATCATCGTCGTATAGTGGTCCTACTATCTGTTGTCTTTCTTGGTGTACAGATAATTGTTTTTTAATTGGTCGAGGGGAATCAATACGAATTTGTCAAATTATGGAACGTAATTATAATCCTGATCGTTCATTACACTCTAGTCGTTCTTCATTCAGTCATCAATCTTCACAAAGTTTAACAACAACAACAGCGACAGCATCATCATCAGCAACATCTGATGCTCGAATTGGTTTGCTTAGTCGTTATGTGGAAATTGTTTATCAAATTAATATGAATGGAATTATTATTCATAGTATATCTCGACATCAAGCTTGCATTTTATTATTATATACTAGTAAGGCAGGATGTAATGCACAAGATTATGAAATCTGTGTTTTAGACGTTGATTTTGATGTTGGTACGCCTGACTCTACACTCGGTATACAACAATACAAAGAAATTTATCGTGAAAAGCTACCTATTCAGTCGACTGATTCTTCATATTCTATTGGTTTAGGTAAGAATTATTTATCTTAGGTGTTAGACCACGGATTGATGTTGGTTAGAAAATCATTGAAAGCCAACATGGAGTACTGGACAGTTGTTTCATCCTAGTTTGGGACTCATCAGTGGCTAAATGGTATACGAGATTGCCATGTGGCCGGGAGGTTCTAAGTTTGAACCCCGGCAGTAGGTAGGTGCGCAGCGATGAAGAGTCCCATGCTCGAGTGAAACAGCTTTTCAGTGATCTTTGGTTTTCAATGTTTCTCTAACTGATAACAATCCGCGGTCCAACCTGAAACAAATTGTTTATCTGTTCAATTTTGTATTTCCCGCTAATTAGTTGGATTATATTTAACTGCAATGTTCTATCTTTGTGGACATGGCGGCTCCTAGTACAGACGCTTCGATGATGTCTGAGCATTAACATGATAATACTTGATGGTGGGTGGGGACTGAATAACAATGCAATCCACGCTACCCATTTCCTCCTATATGGGACTCGTCAGCTTGGTGTACTTGCAATCTCCAGTGAGTGAGGGTATTCTCACTGGGACTCGAACCCAGCAATCGTCATTTAAAACGCTAAGATGTAGTCCACTAGGCCACATGGGTCGCGAGAGTCACCTCTTACACAATGAGTATCAGTGAATTTTGTATTTTCTGTTGATTGACTATTTTGGATTGAAATGTCCGGTCATGTCATCTCTCATGATGGAATTATTTATGTAAACTTTCAAGGTATATTTGGTGAAATCCTTTATTAAACTAAGGTATTTTTTTCTTACTGTGGATTCTGCAAGAGATATCCTAGATATTTTATCTGATCTTGCCCTGCTCGGCTTTTATGTTTTCTCGCCTTATAACATTAATTACATAGGGTTTTGCGTTACGTAATGGCAGCCGTAATCACATGGTTTATTCTGATATTGTATTATCACTTCTTTTTTGATTTCCCCCTTACACATCGATTTCTACTACAATATGTTGCTAGTGTAATGTTCTTCAGTGTGACCCCGTTTAAATCAATAATGCAGGTTAATTCTAAGTTAAATAGAATTCTTTTTCTTCCGTCGCCGGGTTCGAGTCCAGGTGGGCGCACACTGCTAAAGGGTCCCAAACTAGACTGACGAAACAGCTGACTGTCCAATTCTCCCAGGTGTTCCAATGGTTCTGTAACTGCTGTCAGCGTTCACCTCTTGAGTATAAGTCTACTCCATTCCTATTTACTTCGACGTATTTGTTGGGCAGTAGATTTTTGGTTGCTTCATTGGCTGCCAGAGTTACCTATTCTCTATAGCAATCCAGCCATCTGATATTCATATTCCAGTGAAATTCTGCAGCCTAGTAAAATGTTTTCGGTGACACATGCACTAACGTATGCCCGATCCATCTTCATTTTCGATTGCATATTTATTGAGAAATCGGCTCTTGGTTGGTTTGTTCCCACAGTTTCTTGTTTCCTATTCTTTCTGGTCATTTGATCTTCAGTATGGAGCCAGCGAAGGAGGCAGCTGTTGATGAAAGTCTGCAATAGTCTGTTGGGAATCCTTTCCATCACACACACACACACTGCAAGTTTCTGACCTCTATTGAGGAACTGATTGACTTCAAATTTTTATTTAAAATCCAAATCTTGTTCTTTATGCTGAGGTGGAATGCAGAAAATTTCCAAACTGATTTGAAGTTGATGAAGACGTATCTTGCCCTTCTGATTCTAACTTTGACGTCTTCATCCGTTCTGACTGCTTGTATTTGAAAGGATGCTTCCTAGATAAGTGAAGGAGGTATCCTCTTTTAAATATCTCCCGTTGATGATGACTGGTGCTGGTTGTTGTTGCTGTTGGTTAGTTGGTTGTCTCCATCACCTCCGTCTTCTCTATGTTCACCTGAAGTCCTTCCTATCTTCACTACCAGCCTCTTCAGCCAGTTTGTTGGTTTTCTCCTGCCTGCAATTCTTCGAGTTTGTGTGACATTAGGCATCTGAAAAATCCAGATCTTATGGAGTCTTCTCATCGGTGATAATAGACAGCCCTATCTTACTCCTGTATTCACTTGGAACGCCTCGTTGAGTTTCCAGTTGTGGATCATCTGACACGTGGCATTGTCATATAGCCAGCCAGCTGTTGAATGAGGTTGATAATTTTTTCACATTCTTCAATAAATCTAGTACGATAATTAGGAAAAGCCATCCTATCTGAATCAAATGAAATTTTATCAAATATACAGCTTAGTATATAGTGTTTATACTTAATTAGCCTGCTGATTCATCCATATCAGTAGTTATTCAGCCCCTTACACGGATTAATCAATTTTAGTGCATGTGATATTCATTTTTAAAAATAAATCAATAACAAGTGTAAAAATCAATCATTTCAATAAAAGTCATTGCTTGCACTCATTAATTAAAACAGATTTTTAATTGAGAGAATTTCATCATTAATTAACAAAATGTCAGTTCACGAGTTTAAATTATATGCACGTACAAAAAAAGAAAAAAAGAAATGGGGATGTTTGTATACTACGACAGGTTAATTACCATAAGGCTTTTTGTGTCAGCTGATTGACTAGATTAGTTAAACGTTCGTGGATGTTAAGTGTAGGGCTGATCATTACAATCCGCGAAAGATGTACACGTTCAAAATTCATATATTTTGAGATGTAATCTCATTTGGAAACATAACCATTCCCCTTAAATAAGCTTGGTTAGTATGAAAGATAATGTCAATTAATTTATGTGGTTAGTTAGTTTCTAGTCAGATCAAGGTGATTGCGATTAAACTGTAATCCAAGATCTAGATCACACTGATCGTATTAGCGAGCTCTACTCATGACTTTCACTGATCTCCAACTACTTATGTGAATAAGTAGTGTGCATGAAATTTTTAAAAACATTAATTCCAGTGTACATTTCATCCCGAACTAACATCACAGTAACAGAAATCATTGAAAACCAGGGATTGTCAGACCACCGTTTCATCCTAGTTTTTTACTCTTCACAGTGCATACCCACGACCGCACCAAATCCTTCAACCAATCAGACAAAATCCCTACAGAACCAATACTTGAAAATTTTCGATTTTACTACTCCTATTTTCCAATCAAATCCTGTGTCAGCTAACATTATTTGATGAGGAAGAAGCAACGCAAGTTGTAGCCATTTCAGTCGGTATACCGTCACAACCGCGTCAATTGACTTTCCCTTGATACCCTCAATCCGTATATGATACATTCACTTCTTCTGAGAGGAACATAGGGATTTAAGCTTAGGCTTTGAAGTTTCAACAGCGGTGTTGCATTTTACCCGATAAGTTCGCTAACCTCACTCACAACCTTCCCACTTTACTGGGTTTTACTACCGGCTAAACGAGGTTTAGGAGTGTGTCAGCCATGAATCGAACCCTACACCAGGCGCATCCTTGGCCAGTATTCGATCACTGAACCACATATTCATATAGGTTCACTAGTAAAGTTGTTATTTTAATATATTTATTATGTTTATGATTTAATACATTTGTAACCCTGAATGTATATCATTTGTAAACACACTTGTTTCACAATAAATTATATAAATGAATATTAAATATTTCAACCATCCTTCGCCGCTTTGCGAGGGATTATATTTGTAAAATCTCAGCGATATTGAAATGAGTAATTTCAACGTTTCGTTCGGAAATCTGGTCCTAACTTCTTCAGGGAAATTAATCGAAATTAACATAACAGGTTTATATATAAAAGGAACATCTTTAGTTTTTAAAAACTTTGTCCAATCATGATTTATAAAACAAATATTGACAAGTATAATAAACAAAATTGTACGAGTTGTGATCAAAATTTGACCTCAGACTTACAAATATTGATCTACCTTTGTTAAACACTTTAAACACAGTGTGTATGTGTGTGTGTGTGTGTGCGGATAAACAGTTGTAAAACAATGTCTTAACGTCTCCATAAGTAGATATAGACAGTCAGGAACTTTGATCAAGTATTATTAGTTAGTGATACATATCCATTCTTATTTATTAATCAGGATTTCCTATGCGTCATCTAACACCACACCTTGATGTCTGTTCAAACTGTTAGTATCTAGAATTTTATGATTAGACGTATTTTCAAAATTATGGTGTTTAGGATTAGAGTTTAGTTGAAGCACCCTGTCAAACTTATTACTTATCACTCGGCGCCCAAATATTATAGAACTATTCTATCAAATCTTGACTACAGTTCATTTGATTTAATTTATTCTCTTTATTATTTTATCCTTTTGTCTGTCAGCTAGTGTGCCTCATGAAAATACACATTATATATTTTCTAAAAAAGAACTTATTTGTGCGCAGGAGTTAACTCTTGATGATCGTATTGATTGGTTCCTTGAAAATAATTTATTTCTTAAAGGACTTCAAGCAGCTCAACAACATCCACGTTTACTTAGTCGACATACAATTCAAGTGAGTTTACTAAGTTATATAATAATTGCGTTTACAAGTTGCCTTCCTAAAAGACGTTACAGTGTTTTACAGTTCTGATTACTTCTTCAGAGAATCAAGCGTAGCTAACTAGCTAGCTGGTAAATACCCACTTTTTAGTGTAGAGTTTGATATTTATTTACTCAACATATAGTTACTGTCTACTATGATTGGATACATGGTAGTAAGTGGTGCCATGCGTCTAGTCCTTTGTCTGGTGGAGACTGAATTCTGTTGTTAGTCAAGTTTACAATGTGGCCATTATGATAGCTGGTGACTGATCATCACAGAAGTGTTGTTATTAGATGGTTGGAGGTAATCGGTAGGAAATCTTGGATCTGGGTTTCTTCCCCCCCTAGTTGGTACTAACCACCGAACCGTGTCTACAGTCTACAAGAAAATCACGTCCATGCTGAGTTTCAAAGCCGTGTCACGTAATATTGCAGTCAGAAACGTTATCACTGAGCTATTCAGGCTCGCGATGGACCTCTTGTGGAACTGTACTGAATACTTTGACTGGATACTAACTGGTGCCTCCACCTATCTAATAACAACAATCCAGAGTGCACCGTGATGGTGAGCCACATTGCAAACTTGACTGATATTAGATTTCAGTCTGCACCAAACAAAGAACTAGATGCGTGAAAGCAGTTACGTACTACTTAGTGTTAAATCAGAGTATTCAATACAATGCTACAGGAGGACACTCGCGAGCTTGAATAGCTCAGTGGTAACGTCTCTAACTGCAGCACTGGGTGACATAGGTTCTAATCTCAGAAGTTACATGAGTTCCTTCTTGGTTGCAGATAAACCTTGCCTACGAGTGCCAAGTAGCATGAAACCTAGATGTGAGGCTTCCTGCCAATCACCTTTAACTATCTAATAACAACACTTGTGTGATAATGAGCAACCACCTATCATGGTGACCATATTGCAAAATTTACTGATAGAATTCGGTCCCCACCAGACATTCGACTAGACACATTACACTAATTACTAACTAAAGTCCAATCAAAAGTAACTGGTGTTTTCTCTCTCTCTCTCTCTCTCTCTCTCTATATATATATATATATATATATATATATATATGCTGCGTTAATCAGGTAGATAATACTTATCTACTTTCAGTTGAATTGATGAGCATTCCATGTCATAAAAACAGAAACAATGTAACGTCAGGAGATTTTCTTTTCAATACAGCTTTGATTCTTTTTTTCTTCTGCTTACTTTTGCCGATATTTCTCTTATTTTTGTATTCAGGACGGATTAAAGATTTTCGTAATGTTTTAAGCTACAATCTGGACGTTTCCTTTTGTCGAAATTTCACTAAATAAAGTTCTTGAGATGTTCATTTTCTGTCAGATGTAAGATAATGTTACAGGACTGGACTACACTGACTCCTAATTTAGAAATAGGGAGTGAAGTGGTAGAGCACGTTGACCGCTACACTTATTCGGGAAGTACTATCAACCCAAACGGGTTAATCTCTGACGAAATCTCAGCACGAATACAGGGGGCTAGTTTCGCATATGCCAGTTCACGCCGTCTCTGGCTTAGTAGACGTGATATCCGGCTGTCGACCGAAGGGCGTGCGTACTGCTCATCAGTCCGCTCCGTCCTCCTTTATGGCTGTGAGTGAGAAATGGCCATTGAGAGTGGAAGACATGAAGAGACTAGTTAGCTGTCTTTGATTATAGGTGCCTGCGCTCTATCTCCCGTGTGAGGTGGAATAAAAAGGTGAGCAATATTGAGGTGAGGCATCGAGTGCTAGACTGGGTAAGGAGGGGAAATCAATTGACGAGGCTGTGAAATTACATCGACTGAGATGGTTAGGACATGTGTTACTAATGCCTAGTCATCGCCTTCCTCGACCTACGGGCAATGTTAGCTGACATAGGGTCAGACTGGAAGAGAGCTAGTGGTGGTCAGACCAAAACATGGCCTCATTAGTCAATGAAATCCACAACAGTTAGTCTAAGCCACACAGGAAGGTGTAGACTGGCTTCCTGATTGGCGTCTTCATGACAGTAAGAAGCAATGGCTGGAAACAATCGATGATATGGCTCAAAATCGGTCTCAATAGCCGGCGCAGATAATTCCACTCCTTGTGACTCGTGATTTCCAATCAAATTGTTTTGTTCTCCGTTATTACTATTCCTTTGTCTCACACCTCTGTTTACTGTCTATATTATGCATTTCTTCTACTTTCTTCTCTTGCTTTGTGTGCTGCATGGGGGAGTGTGGCGACTTGAATTGCTGCACATCGGTGCAAAGTTCTATCTCGAAAGCAGACAGACAGAGAGATTCTTTTCCATAACTTTCAACTCTCTATCAGTCCTACTTTAGGAATATAATGCCATCCATCTTGTTGAAGCCAGACTCTGTATAATTACCATTTTAAGAAAAGGCAATCTTGGCACTAAAACTGTTGCCTGATTAATGAATAATAATTGTATCACATTTAGTTGGTAGGTTTTTCACCATTAACTAATTCTGCTTTAGCGAACAACTTCGATTGGATAGCAAGTGAAATGTGGCACTGTTCTGCAATATCGGCCATCTTTATCAATTCTGATGAAAATTAAGTTAGGCAGATGATTTTTAAATCCTAGAGATGGAATTTCTCTTTCGATTTTACTTAGCTTTTATATTCGATAGGTTGAATATGTATTTTAACTAGAGACTGTGTAAATTATCCTTGTAGTGTCTCTGATATGAGAGATTTTCTGTGTCTCTTCCCATTTTATTTTGAGATGCTCAGTTGTCGGGAACTTGTATTCAACACACACTATATTGAGACTGTGAAGTTGAGTGTCAATTCTCACTAGGTCTAAACTCAATGTTGACTTATACCTCTCATATATGACGACACTATTCAGATTCTTTTGAGTTTCATCTGACTGTGAACTGTTGAATTGTATACTTCCACTCTGAGAGTCAGAATTCCAAATGCCTACTGCTGATATGTACCATGGATGTGCAATTCCAGCTTGATAACAATTTTTACCGACAAATAGATGGTGTAGCCATATGAGAAGTCCAATTAGCCCTGTTCTAGCAGCTATCTTCAAGTCCAACTACCTTAAGAGAACAAAGTTGAAACATACACGAAACAAATTCTTATCTTCGATATGTCGATGACAGATTTGTAGTGCGTAACAATCAAAGTCATGCTTCCTATCTATTCAGACTATTCAACGGCGCACATAAGAATAGTGAATTTACTATGGGACTTGAAAATGATGGAAAGTTCCATTTCCTTGACAGTTCCATGCAACACCTAGAAGATGGTAGTCTCCAGAGGTCAATTTACCGAAAGCCTACATGAAATTGACAATACCTACATTTTAATAGTTTTTGTCTTAATAGCTTCAGACGAGCACTAGTCAAGATTCTATACTATAGAGCCAGGAGAATATGTTCTGCAGAGAAATTAAAGGAAAAATTTATGATGCTTGAAAAGATGATGAAAAACAACGGTTAACTTCAAAGGTTCATCATCAAGTACGGAACGTGTGAAGGCTGAAATGTCAAGCAAATCACAGTGAGGAAAAAGCCCATCTTCATTCAGCTTGATTTTAAGGGTGAAAATATTACATCAATTTTCAACAGAAGATTAAAGATGTCACTAGGCAGAGCTTATCCTGCAGCTTAGTTGGTTCCCGTCTGTCGGAAAATAGGCTCTTTAGTGCAGTCAAAAGACTACAGATATTCTTCTTATGTTATCTCTAACTGTGTATACAAATTTACATGAATCTGCGGTAGCAGTTACACTGGAAGAACAGAAAGAAGGACACAACTCCAATTTTCTGAAATTGCACCACAAAGCCTACATCTCAAGGTAACAACAAATGCTTTAAATAAAGCTATCGACAGGCATTTCCTTGACACGGGTCATGAGGTGGACGTCGCAGGGTCTTTCAAAATTATTTTCACAATTTCACTAAAATTTTCTTTTTTTTCCTTGCTTCTCTTTCGTTATACTAGTCTGTTGGTATCACATATGTGGATCACCTGTTAAGTGAACGTAAATTCGATGAAGCTGGAAAACTTTGTTCAGAAGTTTTATCTACTAAAGATGCTTGGGAAGAGCATGTTCAAAAATTCCATATTCTTGGTCATTTGGAGGTAGGTGTGTCGAAGACTTTAATACTATTCTGCTTTTGTTTAATTTGGTTTAATAACAATGATAACCACTGTTTTTTTTCTGGACAAAACGTTTTACATATTTTCAGTGTATTTTTACTGCATAATGTTTACTCTGCATTGTGAAGATCTTAAACTAGAATTCGTAATTGATAGTATATCGTGTGACACAGTACTGTCCGATCTGAAGCAAAACCTAGTCCCTTGTGATGTTTCTTTGTTCATGACTTTCGAGAAATGTCGAACAGTAGACTGATGAAACCCATTTTAAAAACTACGCATAGATACATTTTGTGATATAAGGATATAATTGATTGAATAAAACAATAAGAAATGGTGAAAAATCAATGCATTTTGTTGGATGGATACATCATCATTGTTGCTATGCTTCAAGGTAATTATAGAGATCGGGTTGATTTTCTGCAGTTGGGTCACTAGCCGCACCTATAACCTTCCTTCTTTTTCTGGGCTTAAGAACGGTTAGTGAACTAGGCCTAATGAATACTCCGAAAAAAATGAAGATGAATTGAACACAATCTGAGTAGGGCGTTGATATGTATCCACATGATGTGTGTTTTGTTTTTGACAGTCTACTCTATTTTGCTGTGTATATGAATCGATATTTCATTATAACTGACAATATGCTTTTGTCTGTCCACTAACTAAATAAACATGTATGACCTTGTTATCATATGACATTACAACCAATCATGATAAGATTGGTTCATGTGTATTAGCCATTTTCATATACACTTTTATCACGATTCTTGTTCACACATTTCGTACATTTAAGTACCCTTCCACTCACACACTTGTGTGACATTTTTTTTCCTTGTCTGGAAAATACAAGTATCATCGTAAACCTGGTGATCTTTTGATTTCCCTCTTTCCGCGCCAGGACTATTAACTACTCGACGAGTACATAACAGGCGTTCAGTAACATCACACATCAGGCCCCTGAGTGAAACCTGAATTGGAAATCGCGATTTTGGCGTCCGAGAGTAACATGGAGAGGCCATTGTGGAGCGATCAGCAATTGCAATGCATGCATTAACACACAGCCACACAATAGGGTGGGAAAGGGTTACAATTCTAAAAAGTAATCTAGATAGATGGAGAGATAGGTTGAATCCTTGTTCATCGGGTCTACACCCAACACATGCAACAGAAATGATTCATCGCTCACACCCAAAATATGAAAAATACTACTACCAATCAAATCAAGTGAAAAACAATGGAACTATATGTATGAAGTTAGGAAGTCGTGTGATTACTTTGATATGATTATGAGTGGCAATAAATTGTGCTCGAAACGTCATCAGTAAACATTATTGTATAACACTGTGAGACTTTATCAAAACAAAATTTACCCATAATGGAATTACACTCTACCACAGTGCACAAGTTTTATTCGTATATCAATAAAATCTCTCTACTGACAACGAATGGAATTAAATCTCCAGGCAGGGCCATTCTGGGAGTGGTCACTGAAATATTTGATCAACTGACCTGAAAATGCAAGTTTTAAACCTAACTAAATGTCTATAAAGCAAGTCTTTACTGTTCGATGGATATTAGAAATTGCTTACGATACCCCTAGAGTTCGCTAAAACTCTTATTTGAAATTGACATTTGACGCCGTTGATCGAGATGTTTTACGACAGTGTACTAAAGTGAAAAGAATGTTTGTTAATTTCGTCATCATAGTGAAGACTCCACATTTTAGTGCCTATAGTGACGCTGTTGATCTAGTGGTAGAATGCTCGACAACCATGCACGTCCTGCAGGGTTCGATTCTCTGCCGGTGCACACACATAGCAGGTTATGAGCCTGTGGCACTTTCTACTGATAAGATTTATCAGTAGTATATAAAGAGACGTTCATCGTCACGAAAATCATCAAATAACAGGAAGACAGATTTGATGTCAGAGAAAGCAAATGATACAGCGTTGTGTAGATACATAGGAGACGTGAACGGAACACAAAGAAACACAATATGAACGAAGGAGAGAAGTAGCACAAGACGGAAGATCTTTGCGAATGTTGTGATCAGGATAAGGTGTACATAATTTCGCTATCTAGAGATACCAAATTCCAGATAAAGATTTCTTAACCAAGTCTTCTGTCGTCTACCGTTACAATTGGTGTCTCTGCCTCCAGACAATGAAGATGCTGTGACCGGCTGCTTTCTAGGAAGGAGATATACAGTGCTTCTTACTGAACTTTGAAGCCGTCGCTGAGTTGATTGGCGTCAATGATCCGACGGCGAAGGTGATCGTGCTGGGGACGCTGCTGAGAGGTCGAGTAAAGACGTCGTCCGACAGTATGAAGCGGTCAGGTGAGGTGACCTGCAAGGTATTGGTTAAACAGAGCTATGGCAGAGAGGGAGGAATGAGACTAGCAATCAGACCACGTAAAAAATACGGCTGCTACTGAGACTTGAAGCTTGAAGCCGTATGTTCCACTCGGAACGCAAAGGAATAAAATAGAAATGATAATTAGCCTTAGAGTCTTTTGGATGTTATATGACGAGTGGCTTGTTCCGAAAAGTTTCCGTAAGCCATATGTAATCCCTCTTTTTATTTTGTCTTAATACTGACATTTCATACGGTCTCTTAGTACAACTTCATGACAGCTGATCTATTTATAAAAGTTTATGCGTAAACTTAATGATAAACTTAATAAATAAAGATGCCTTACTAGCCTGAAGAATAGTACTGATTGTAAAAGGCGAATAAGATGATGAAGATGATATGGGTAAAGTGGAGTGGAAGTGTGTGGGCGTTTGTTACTTCCCGACTGCCCACACCGTGGTAGTTGATTGAATCTTTAGGTACCTGAAACAGAAAGATAATCAGTGTCGCGTGACCGCAGAGATCAAGGGACAGCTGTTTGAGGCCGGTCACACACGGCCCGTTTGAACTGGCTTTGTGGTTCGGTTCTATATTAGTAAACTTACCTCCGGTTACGGACCACCGTAGGGTAAGTTGGGATGTACAATTTTTAGGGTCGACCTTTCCTAACCTCCTCTCTACAGAGTAGAGAGACAGCATAGCTGACATGCTGGTTATCTGAGGGAAACACCTCACTGCTGTTACATCCCTGTTCCCCAGAAGCACGTCTTTGCCCACAGACTCCCAGCATATTATAAAAAAATTCTTACACTATGCCGGTAACTGCTTTAATAATAATAATAGCTTTTATAAAATCCCGGGAGTGGATAATACGATTAGAATGCATAATGTGATATGTAAATACCAATAAAATACGAGTAAATAGATGCAAAAAGTACATGGAATGCTTTTAGTCTAATGGCTATCCTGATAACCTTCCTGGTATGGTAGGACCTGTAGGAACAATAGTTACGGCCAGCCTGGCTTGTTGGGTCATTGCGATGGGCAAGCCTGACCAAAACGTCAATTTAGTCGCTATTGATCGGCTTCTTCAGATATCGACAGGGTATGAGACAACCAACAGAGATCTGAAGAGAAAGTGATGCCAGGATAGAAAGTATTCCCTATCGCAGTACCCTCAATACTAGAAAAATCATGGAACTGAATCACTCCACTCAAGTCTTGTCCGCATCTGAAACTAAAATCAACAGTGTGACATTTAGATGGATTTTGTCTGGAACCATTGGATGAGTAAGACAATTGGTTAGTCTCACATATCAGAACACTCCAATACAGAAACTGCAGGGATAGAAATTGTCAGATCATCTGCATATTTAATGGAATAAACTTTGGAGGAATACAGTAGGTCACGCAAAAAAGAAAGGAAAAAGAAATAGAGAAACTTCCTTATCTGAAGGCACATCACCTTCCGTAGGCAAAGAAGTGAAGCGCTTCCCATATTAGACTGTTGAACACTGTGATTTTATCAAAGTAAAATTTTATGCATAATAGAATTATACTCTACCACAGTGATCAAGTTTTATTCTTTATCCATACCTGTACAATTTGTATGTGTCTGAATATCTGTTGTGGCATTCGCGCTATACCATGGCATAAAAACACTTTGTAGTGGCTTTTATCCTCACTCTTTTTAAAAACGTAATTCTCAATTAAATACTGACAGCATCATGAAAATACGCTGACCCATCTGTTTATTCATTATTTCCTTTCTTTTTTTTCTGTCTTACAAATTAGGCTATTGTTCCATATCTTCCAGTTGGCGCTGAAGAGAAATCTGTAAAACTCAACATATCTACATATGAATTAGTTTTATTCGATTATATGAAACGAATTCCTATTGAATTTTTTCATTTATTAACTAACTGGTGTAGGCTATGCGTTGTTAATATTAATGAGAATTTTATACACACTTTATTAGACTGTATTGAACAGCGTAGTTCACTATCTGGTAAGTTGTCACTATTTCGCGCCCTTTTTTTAAAATAATTTTACTTTAATAAGTGAATAACACTGAAGCGTTTTCAACATTTTTTTCTCTATTCCCTCGCATTTCGAAGTGGAATATACCACTTCAAGCTTTTACTTTGAAGTTTTAGTAGCAATGGTGTTTTTTCTTAACCATGGGGTTGTTAGCCTCATGTTTTATTTTCCCTCTTTTTTTACTGGATTTATTATCGCCTAAACAGGGTTTCTGAATTCGTCGGCTTAGGCAACGAGCTCCGCACCACGTCAAGCGTGGCTGGCGAGCATTGCGTCAGTAAACCAATGATGCACATATTTCTTTTTAACATATACTATAATAAACCTATTAAAAGGGCATTATTCAGCCTCCTTGACTGAATATATGTGCATCAGTTGTGATTCAGGCTGTTAAATGCTCGTCAACCACAATTCACGTGAAAACGGGTTCGACGCCTCGGCCGACGAAATCCTAAGCCTCACTTAGCTGTAAGTAAGTATAATAAAGAGGGATAGTTTTGACGTGAGACTAGCAAACTAATCGTATAAAAAGTCATAAAACCACTGAAGCTTCAAAGCTCAAGTTTGAAGTGCACTCAAAACGTAAATGTATGAAATAATAAATTATAATGAATAAATAACTAAACTGTCTGTCTGTTTGTGAATGAGAACTTTCCATCGATGTGCAGCAATTCAAGTCAACACACTCCATGTAGCACATAAAGCAAGAGAAGAAAGTAGAAGAAATGCATAATATAGACAGTAAACAGAGGTGTGAGACAAAGGAATAGTAATAACGGAGAACAAAACAATTTGATTGGAAATCACGAGTCACAAGGAGTGGAATTATCTGCGCCGGCTATTGAGAACGATTTTGAGCCATATCATCGATTGTTTCCAGCCATTGCTTCTTACTGTCATGAAGACGTCAATCAGGAAGTAAGTCTACACCTTCCTGTGTGGCTTAGACTAACTGTTGTGGATTTCATTGACTAATGAGGCCATGTTTTGGTCTGACCACCACTAGCTCTTTTCCAGTTTGACCCTATGTCAGCTAACATTGCCCGTAGGTCGAGGAAGGCGATGACTAGGCATTAGTAACACATGTCCTAACCATCTCAGTCGATGTAATTTCACAGCCTCGTCAATTGATTTCCCCTCCTTACCCAGTCTAGCACTCGATGCCTCACCTCAATATTGCTCACCTTTTTATTCCACCTCACACGGGAGATAGAGCGCAGGCACCTATGATCACAGACAACTAATCTTTTCATGTCTTCCACTCTCAATGGCCATTTCTCACTCACAGCCATAAAGGAGGACGGAGCGAACTGATGAGCAGTACACCCGCCCTTTGGTCGACAGCCGGATATCACGTCTACTAAGCCAGAGACGGCGTGAACTGGCATATGCGAAACTAGCCCTCTGTATCCGTGCTGAGATTTCGTCAGAACTGAACATTTTACTTCTGTGTGTGTATTATGAATGAAACATTCATATAAGAACAACTCTTTGTGCTGATAAACTTTAATAAATTGAGTATTCGACAAATACAATAGTGGGTTGATTTTATTTTAGTATGACACATAATTGTACCCTGAATTCGCTTGTTTCATGGGAGTACATCGATTAGAAGTATAAACAATAAATCATTCTGAAAAACTCACTTCAAACTGAAGCATACACTGAGGAGGTTTTCCTAGGAAGGCAGTGAACGGTTCGCAACTGAAACCAACCAACTGAGAGAATACAACTACACCAGAACTTAATAAATGTATTTACAAATTCCCGTTTAAATATTTTAAAAAAAGTATATTTCTATGGTTAATTTGTATGGGTGTCTAATGTAGCTTCTCTTTTGCCAGTCTAGAGGATATTTTTAGCTAATGTCAGGTTGTTCATTTAGGCTCTTTTTCTCTCTCGGAAATATCTGTAGTCTGTGTGAATCACAGTTTTCAAGTCGTGAAAAGATATAATAGGATAGATTTAGTATTAAAAGAGGGAATAGTGTTAGTTACTACTTGACACAAAGTATTTTAAACTTCAGAGTATTATTCATATGAGGATTCCTCTCTAGTTAGAAATCTACAGAAAATCGTCTTTTTCAATCATCTGAACTGAATGGACAACCACTGGCGGGATGGATGAAGATATGAAAGACAGGAATGCATAGGTCACTGATAGACCTTCATCACCCTGAAGTGCTTGTTAAAATCTACTGCAGTCGGCATAAAGAAAAAGGTTTGAATATTCACTACTAATGTTAAATCAGTGCTTCTAAGTAGTGTTCATACACACTTGGTGCATGTATTACCGAATACATTTCCAAGAGGATGCAGACTTTCATCAATAGTTGTCTTTACTGGCTAGACATTGAATATCAGAGAACTGGATAGAAAGAATAAGTAACAAAGGCCTCTTAACTGAAACCAACCAAGAACCTATTACTCTATAAATATACAGAATGAAATGATGATGGAATGGACACACTTTAAGGAGACTGTTGAAATGACATCACATGCTACATAGGCCCATAAGTGGAATCCGAACCGAAGACTTCGTCGTCGACATGTAAGGGATTGTGCGAGGAGGAGTTCATAGCTTATCGGTTACCATGGAGTCAGCTAAAATAGTTTGCAAAGAACAGAGTAAATTGGAGATATGTGCTTTTGACGCCTTATATTCCACTTGGAACCTGAGAGAATAATAATGTAGAACAAATTACTCTCACCCACCTACACACACAATTATATTTCAAGCAGGCTAATTATCCTGAATTTCCATCCCTTGTTAACCTTACATGTAAAGCTTAACCTCCAGCCATTGTAAAAAGAAAAATAAAAGATATCCACCGAAGCGGTTACATCACTTAAACTCATTCGAAGCAACAAATTCTATCTTACTGACTATCGTTTTTTTCAAAACAGTTTCGAAAATTTCAACTGTTGGACGATTACTATCGTTTTCCTAACTGCCATTTCTACTTACAATCGTCAAGTAGGTTTTTCTGGTGCTTTTGCATATCATTGTATTTCAAAACCGAACAGCTTTTTCCCTTAATATTCGTCTGTAGAAGCCCGTCTCACTTACTGGCTGAGTTTTAACATGAAGTTTAATCCAGAAGTGCACCAGTTCAAATTGCTACATTCCATGTAGTACAGAAAAGTAAAAACAAAGGGATTCAAAAGTACTACAACAAGTAAGAATGTGAGCGAGAGAGAAAGAATAGTAAAGTGGAAAAAAACTCAACGGTTTATTGGATAAAGAAGATCAAAAAATTTGAATGGATCTGAGCCATCACTGAGAACGGTTTTGAACCATATTACAAATAGTCTCCAACCATTGGTTATTAGTATCCCGAGGATATCAACCACCTCCCTACATGGCTGGCTTAAACTAACACTGTTTTGAATTTCATGCAATGATTCCATGTTTTAGTTTAACCACCACTAGCTCCCGAAAATGAAAAGAATGGGTGGTCAACTGAACGACTGCTTTCAACATAGAACTTTTCAGAGAAGTGCTTCTTTTCAAGTTGCCACACTTCACATAGCACACAAAGGAAGGCAAGAGAGAAAGAGAAAGGTGAAAAAGAGATTCGGAAGAACGATAATAAGCAGAAATGTGAGGAGGAAGGAATAGACGCATAGAGAAACAATAAGATTTTTTTGGGTATGACAGATCACAAAGGATGAATGAACCTGCGCCACTGTGAACAACTTTGATCCATTTCACTAAATTGCCTGTCACTATTGGTTCTTAGAATCCCGAGGACCCAAACCAGGCAGCCCATACCTCCCTAGGTGACACAAAGTAACTGTTAAAGATTTCATTGATTGATTCTATGTTTTGGTTTTACCATCACTGTCTCTTTTCCAACCTGATCTATCCTACATCAGCTAACACTTCCCTTAGAGGAAGGCTATGGTTAGGTATGCGTAACACATATCCTAACTATCTCAATCGGTATAACTTCACAACGTCGTCGATTGATTTTCCCTGCTTACACTCGACCGATGCCTTACCTCAATGTTGCTCAGCCTATTATGCCACCTAACACAGGAGGTAGAACTCAGTCAACTATGATCAAAGACAGTCAACCTTTTCATACCTTCCACCTACAATGACCGACCAAATCTCATAGGCATAAAAAAGAGCTGAGCATTACGTCCTTTGATCGATAGCCTGCACTAGAGATGATGTAAGTCGGTAAATGCCACATGAGCCTACTGTATCCATGCTGAGATTTCATTGGCAATCAGCCCAAGTAAGTGAAGTGGTCAGTGCTCTGTACCACTTCGCTGCCTTCCTATCTTTAAGCCAGAAGTCGGTGCAATGCAGTCCTGTAGCAAATCTAAAGGACTTGTTAAGATACCACCATATTATAATATCTAACACCTACTGATACATGATTGGAATGAAGAATGAATTCATTGTATTCCCACCTTTTTCAGGAATATAAATCCACTTCAATGGATAGATAATATCAGTAGTTCTTAGTGCTTATAACATGTTAGATCGTTTTTTAATTTGCGTGCTAAAATTAAGTCGTCCTATGCATAAACATCATTAGTTATTATTGTTGTTTTCATTATTGAAGTGTCACAAAGAGCATTTCCAATAGGCGGCTGCACAATTTCACCAACAGCTACCTTATCTGCCTCGATACAGAATGTCAGATAACCGACCGAAAAAAAAAGAACACGCGACAAAGAACTCTGCAACGAACTAATCAATAACGCATTGGCCAGCAAGTATGCAGAAGGAAATCTTTTCTTTAAAAACATCTTTATTCTGGATAGTATCTATGATGTGTACAGAATATTCAGAGGAGTTTATTGTATGATATTTTCCCTTTGTACAATATCTTCAAATAAAATATGAACTGACAGTATATCTTGTGACAAAATGATCTCTGAGCTGAGGCACAAACCATTCCATTATGCTATATCTGCTTTGTCTCCTTCAAGAAATCGACGATATCTAGTT